ATAAATTGCACCTGAGTCTAGATTCACTCGATTGACCTAGCGTTTTAGAATGGCCAGAATTTGGCAAATTGTTGAATTCAGTCTCACTTTTGAAGTTGTTTTTTGTAGATCTTACAGATCTAGCTTCAAAATTGAGGCTATATTCAAGAATTTGATAAATTCTCTATGATGTGAAATGTTATATTAAGAGTCAATCTATACCCAGGTGGAACTTCTCTCCATAAGTGTCTCAGTATTTATTTAAAAACAAAGATTTATTTTAGTTTGTGATATGCAATGCACATTAATCGTCTTTTCTCCCCACAATGGTTATTCCTCCTCATCGATGGAGCAAAGTTTCTACTGCATATATTAAGAACAAAATCCAAACTTGTACTTAGCAGGGGATACATAAGGATCATAATCTATTGTTCTTGTATTTATATTTTGTTCCAACGGCACAGACACGATGGGCCGAATGGCCTCCTTCTGTGCTGTACAATTCTGTGAACTGTTTAATGTATTACTGCCTTGTAATATTCCCAAGGTATCTATTATCCTGTATGTTAGAAGGGAGATAACTGTTGTACTAATCATGGAGAATAATAGATTATGAAGCAGTAATCTAATACAGAGGTTCGGATATCAAACAAAGCATTTTCTAATTAGAGCAAGTGTGCTTTCAACATTTATTTCAAATGTGCATTTTTCATTGTGAATCTGACATTTATGGGAAAATAAAGTTGTCAAAATGTACAATTTAACCCGAATGACATATTATTTGAGCATTTTGGTTATGGGGCCACTGCTGAAAACAGATTTTAAGCTCACTGTATGACCATCCAAATATAACTAGGTAAAAGAAAATACAAAATTTTGATTGCAAGATTGGTTTGGATAAAAATGTTGCAGTTGACTGAGAATTTTGCAAGGTAGAATATACTTTTTTTAAAAAGTGATTCCCCCCACAATTCCACCTATATATTTGCAAGTTATCTAAAGTAAACAGGAAATACAACAAAGAAAAATGTTGCTTAATACGCAAGTGTTAAAACTGCACTGGGTCTTTAGTTGAGATTGATTTTTTATGGTATACAATGAGCTATAGAACCTTGTATGAGTGTAAGTGTCTGCACATTTGTGAGACAAAAATAAATTATATAACAGCTATCTAGACAAGCAGGTGTTCTTAGTCATTATAGTGGTGACTGTTTGGAAGCATTTACAGAAATAAATGTTCTTCGATAGTTTGAAAATATATGCATTTGTCAGAGTTTGATAGATTTCACTTTAAATAGAATTAAAACTAGATCTTGCAAGGCCTATTTGAATGGTCACCTGAACATCCATGATTATAATTTTTAATCAAGATCAAAGGTCTCTCTAATCAACTAAATCTGAATATTTACACCAGTGTTGATAACTTAACTACATAACTCTATTTGGCATGAAACTTGCCATTCTGAGTCGTATGAATCCCATGCTACAATTACCGTCTTATAATTAAACGAAGGTATCCACTAATCTGTGCAACTACTTCAGGGTAAGTGATTTAAAGATTCTGTATAGCCAGTGAATCTAATTTTGAACTCATACCCCTAATGCTGAAAAAATACCAGTACTACAGTAAGAAGTAGTATTTGAAGACATTTTAAATGATTATAATCATTTCTGCTCTGCCTCATTTTTCTTTTTCCAAATCATTATTAACTATGATGTTACTTACCTATACACTTAGGCTAATTTTTATGTTTAAAATCTTGAATTTCACCATTTTCATTTGCCTGATTGAACCTGTCTTCCATTCTGGAGATGGAGCCCACAACTTATTACATTTGGTCCCTTACTGGCTGTAAAACCAGTCTTTGGAATGAATGATTAGAAGTCTGAATATTGAAACCTGGTCTGGTTACATTACCTGAGCAACACAATTTGATGCCTTTCTGACCATTCTGCAAAAAATGAGACGTGACCCTTCGTTTTTTGTTGAAGGCCCAAGGGAGCAAGCATTCCTTCAATGTTAAGGTGTTTAGATTTTGTTTAAGATTCTTCATTGTGCTGATAGCAGTTCTATTCCAACAATCAGTATGTTCTATATTGTCTACATACGATTATGACAATCAATTAAAAAATATATTGTGATATTACTGCAAATGTCATGAAAATTTTAATTTTTTAATCTTTGTATGAAAGTGTATTACAAATGACCTATACGTTAGGGAAGGGGAATAAGAGATAATGCCAACTAAACAAAAATCAAAATTAGACCCATTCAGTTAACCTGAAAACATGTTTACAATCTTGAAATGGTGCAGTTATATGGATTAAAACAAAATTCAGTTTTGTAGAAAATCTGAAGGAAAGATTCAAAAGGACAACAGTTGCAAGTGCCAGGGAGACATATTGCAACAGATGTGAATACTGCAAATGTAGAATTTCAATTAGCACATCCTATACAGGAGAATAAATGGTCATGCCAGTTACCACAGAACTGGTTACTGGGTATTCAACATGCTTGTAGAAATGCATAACTTGTTGGCAGTAATCGAGAAATCATGAGCGCCAAATGTGAGTCTTCTTGTGAAGAGTCAGAAAATGCTAGAGTTGATTCAAGCTATCTGGTTGCATTGAAGCTTAAAAAAATAGAATTACACACCAATCACACCTGTAAGTGTATGACTATTTTTATTCATGCAAGTGCAATTTACCTACTAGATGTCCAAGTATGTTTATAATTGGAAGAAACTTCCATTGATGTTTGAGAAATACTACAAAATGCTTTTTATTGAACTGTTCCATTAAACCTCCAGTGGAATCTATGAAGTCTAAAGATTTTTTAAGCAAGAGATTTGAACTTTTTCTTCTGGAATTTCTCATATTTCTTAGTTTTGTTATACCACAATCCTTTCCCAAATTTTAATCCTGTTGGGAAGCAGGTTCCATATAGCAGTTCTAACTTCTCAGCTGCTGTACAATCTTCATTTAGTGAAACACTATCATTTTAACTGTCGGCTGATTTGAACTGCTTTTTATTTCTTCCAAAATGTTATAATTTCTATCAATAATTTTATTTCCACATTGTCCTTTTTCATTCAACTCTCTTTGCGTTTTAAAAAATTTAAACTTTTTTTATTACATCAAAATATCTCAAAAGTGTTTCACAATAATTACCTTGAAGAATACTGACTGCTTTTGTAGGCAAACAGTCATTTGTGAATTATTAATTATAATAAACAGTTTGATCACAAAATACACAATCAATCTACTTTACAATATATTCTGTGACGAGCTTTGCGACGTCTCAACCATGTGATCAGGTGCGATATCAAATCAAGGATTATAATACTCCTTCCATTTGATATAGTGCCTTAGGATACAAGACTACATTACAGCGTAGTAATTAGATAGGCAAACACGGCAGTCAATTTGTGCACAAGGGCTATGAAGTGAATGACCAATTTAACAGGATTGTTTGGAACAGTGGCATGGAATCTTTTACCGTCCATCCAAAAGATTGTACCTTAAACAATGCAGGACAGCAAAGTCCCATATTGTGGGGCCTGAACCCACAACCTCAATTGGAGGTGACAGGATAACACCACCTAAAAAGCTAGAAGGTGAATGAACCAATTAAGATGAAGGATTGTGAATTCTAGGTGACACAGTCAAAAGTTCCACAGGCGTGCAAAGATGAGAAGTGTGTGAATTTTCACCACCAGAATTCTAGCGTGTTCCTTTTGGACTGATGCAGAATGTTGAATTGCCATATGTCTGTCTTGCATTTCTAGTATAAACATGAAGGCTTGCCTTAAAACAATCAGAATGCTTGTAAATGTTGGAGAAGGCTGACAGTCCAACCATAATGTTCCAATATTGCTGCAGATTAGCAGATTAATTCCTTTCTTTTTATGCTCTTTAATTCAAACCATCAGCACAATATCCTTGGCGTAAAATGCAAAGCAGAAGATTAAGTTGCTCAATTCCACCTCCAGAAACATTGTAGATATGTAGCCAGAGCTTTGCAAGATTATGGCCAGAAGAGCTGCTTTCAACCAAGAACGGATGAAGTGTGCACCATTATCTCAGCATTCTGTATTCATCCATTTATTTATATCTACAAGGAACAGCATTTGTGAATACTGCATTGTTTCTCTTGTCCTTGAATCTCCCCCAAGTGGAATCTAGTATTCAGCTTCTTATACAGATGATTTAAAATCTACGATTAACTTCTACACCAAAGAAGTTGGAAGTTGGAAGATGTATTAAGGCACAATTTTATGCATTATATTGCAGGACTAGCTGAAATAAGTGGTTAAAATAGAAATCCTTCGACATGTAAAATAAGATGGATTTGAGAGAAGCTTTATTCCCATCCCAGGGCACCAACTAAGCAGGAAAAAGCTTGGGATCTTTGTTTTCACCAATATAGGCCCAAAATGCAGGCAATGATGCAGTTTTGTGAGTTTGCCCCCCTTGTACACTGTCCAGCGCCTTGGGACGTCGTCCCGACGTGAAAGGCGCTATATACGAATGTAATCTTGTTGTTTTTATCCTTAAATAATGATAGCTACATTTGTTTATTTGCTTACTTATCATTGACGCGTAAAATCCAGGCTTCAAAGTACTCAGGAACCGCAGTTAGTCTTGAGCCCATTAAACCGTGCTATTTTTCGTGGCATTTCAGACCTGTTCCCGAGAAGGTATTTGATGACTCTCGAAAATGGTATTGAAATTCAGTGTTGTAAAAGCTTAAAAACGTGCAGAACATGGCAAACTACGAAATATATACCACCTTCTATGTAGGACTCATCCTCCAAAAAAAATATCCGAAACTCCTAACGGCGATACTTACAATGGTGAAGGGGTTTCGTTTACTTACCAATAATTGTTTAATCGCCGCGTTAACATGGCGACGCTCGTACTTACCCTGTTGTTGGTAGATATTTCAGGCCCTGGAACTCACCTAATATTATACTTCTGTAACTAAATCCGTCTAAATCGTCAAGACTCATCATACTTACCCATCGGGGACAGTATTCTTCTTCACCATGGTTTAAGAAGGGAACCGCTGATAAGTAAGTCACTGCAGCAAATAGATAGAAAAAATCGCGCTGTTTAAACGTTTTAACTCCCGATTTTGTTCAGCCACCAGACTAGGCCTTGATCCTCTCACACAAAAAAAAACCATCGGCTCAGTGAACAGCGTTTAGACTCCAAAGATCATTCCAGAAGTGGGTTGGTTCTCTTTAATATAAAGATTGTATTTTCTTTTGAAATCAGTTGAAAGAAAAGAAACCCTCCCACTCCCTCTCCCCCACAACCTCCTCCCCTCCCGCTCACACCCCCCCCCCCCACGCCCACCACCAGCCCCACACCTCAGGTCCTTTTTTTTAAAAAAAATATAAATTGCTGGCGTTATTTATTAGCAACGCTCTCCGCTGTCTATCTGTCTGTGTGTGTGTCCGTCTGCGTGTGTGCGTCTGTCCTCTACTCCCTACACTTGCGCCCTGAACAACCGGGGGGGGGGGGGGCGGAAATTTCCAGAACATGTCAGTGCGCATGCTCGGGCGCGCGACGCTACTGAGCGGCACATTGTCCGTTCAAAACAAGAGACGGAACCCAACCGTCACCTCAGCCACAGCCTCGAGGAGGAGGAGGGGGAGCAGCCCCAGTCCCAGCCCCCTACCCCTCCCCGGCTTCAGTAGGCGTTGAACCTACACTCCCTTTACGGATTAAGAAGCCAACACACAACCACACACACGCGCGTAAAAAAAAATATCGACCACACCGACGCCTGTACGGCAATGACACGGTTGTATTTCCTTCAACCCCACACCCACCCACACACACACACACCCACACACACAACACACACAACACACACACACGACAACAAATTAATAATGATGCGGTGGCTTAAATCCGCCACTGTTTGCGGGCAAGCGCCCGCCGGGCTCGATCGGCCACCGCGGCTTCGCCCGCGAAACAGGCGGTCGATTAATTCACTTTGCAGTGTATTCCGTGAAGCGCTTTGAGACGTCTGGTGGACGTGATGAGGCGCGATACCAAGTGCGAGGGTTATTATTATGTCGGTTGGTTAGAATCTGATGATGCCTTAAATCCCCGAATTGCAACCCCAAAGGGAAGGTGTAACTAACTATTAAATAGCAAACAAATACAGTATCTCTTCCCATCTTACGAGATTTAAATCAGATCACGACCCCGACCGCTTGTTCAGGTGGATGTTAAAGATTTCATGGCCGTTTCAAAATGGACAGGAATTTATTCCCAGTGTCAACAATTCCCCAACACAATCACAGTACCCTACTTACGTACATACAATCACAGTATATAAATATATAATTATTATGCATTATATATTGTATTACATAAATACGATCACAGTATTTCTTGCACTTCAGGGAGATCAAATGACGGTTCATGTAGCACGGATTGTTGATCAATTATAAGGCGTTTCTTTGGAGAACAGAAAACAGTATTCTTATGTTGCCAACTGCTATCAGTACAATACCAACTTTGGATATATTTCTGTATTATGAAAATATGTACTTGTTTGCATTATTTAACCAAGAAGACTTTCCATTAATCTACTACACTGGAAGGGGAGGTGAGGTCAGGTGTCTGAGGTTTCTGGAAATGTTTCTTAGCACTGTTATATGATTATGATGGGAAAGTAATCCAATTATAATGAGTTGAGACAATAATAGGCACTTGCGTAGACATTTTAAGTTAGACTATTTCATTAGAAATTCAATTTTGATAATTTTTAAAAAATTATAATCCATTCAAATACTCTTTTGCAGCAAGACCAGACCAAATGTGATACTACCACATTATTCTCTGTATGAACTGTAAACTGGGCTCACCAATATGTCACAGTAAGTATGTTCTTTAAAGTTTTGATAAAATTGTTGCTTTTTTGTACCAACTGTTTGTATTTTATACCAATAATATCTGCATTGTTGATGTTTCAAGCAGGTAATGTTATACTCTTTGTTTCCATTTACTATGTTGTTTACTAGCTTAGCGACATTTAAATGTGCTACTAATATATTTAGTAACTTTCATTCTTAATTATTTATTAATTTTCATGATAATAGTTTTTTCCTTTGTTCTTAAGGAGGAAGGATCCTGCAGAAACAAAATCTGAAGACACTCAAAGTGAAAATATGCCTAAGCATGCAACATGGGTATGTATCAAATATTTTGTACAATGTTTGATAAATCTTAACACATAAAATATTTGCAGGGAGTTTGACTTCTTGTTTATGTTGATCTATTTGGTGTTCGCAACTGCTGTGTTTGCCCCCTTCCCAGGATACAAGTACAATGTTTCTTGGGAAGTGCTTTGAATTATCTCAACGACGTGATAAGACCCTCTATTAAATGCAAGGATTATTATTAGTATTACTCTGCATGCTAGATGCAGTGTTGGATTTACAGCAAGATGCCTTTTATCAAAGCCCCATACACAAGGTCCTGGTACATGGCACATTGTGAGTTATGGTTGTTCCAACATGCTGGGGGTCAATATTTATCAAAAGACTAAATCGGGAACTTTGAGATTTTATACAAAAGCTGCTGGAGTGAGCTGAGTGAATGGCATGCTTATGCTGCGAATTAGCTTGCTATCCAGAACTAGGCAAGGTGCAAACTTCAAACTCTTTAGTATTTGAAATAAGACTATTCAAATTATATGATCACAAGAGACCTTTGGATGAAGAAGGCTCTTCAGTGCATTTGAGCTCATCCTCCCAGAATACCCACTCTACTGTTTTCCCATAACAATATCGAGCTGTGGCTTAATTGAGTTCAGTATCCTGGCCGTAACCACCCTTACTGGTAATGTGTTCCAGGTCATTAATTACCCTCTATATGCAGTCTTGCCTTCATTTTAATTTCTTAAAAAAATGTTTTTGCAGGACGAGGAGGCTCAAGAAGAGCATCTAAGAAGAAGGATTTCATCTAGAAGAGAAAATATTAGGAAAAGGGTATATAGTGATTTTCAGTTGTGTGATTACAATGATAAAATTGTAAAATGTATGTGATGAGGATGTTCGTTCTGCTTTTATCAACACAATTAATTAAAATTGGCTGTGGGCCGATTTCAGAATTGTTTATTTGAAATGTGAAACTGTACAATTTGTGCTATATTTGCATTGAATTTTACTACAACAACTAAAAATGTGATTTTAATGTGTCATTTGATTTTAGTTTGCTGAAGAGTCTGAACGTAGACCACTTGAACAGATTGAAGGATACAATGATTCCAACATACAGGAATGTATGTCTTCTACCTTAGCTCACATATTAACTGTGTGTAGTTTTAATGTGTTTCACTTGCTTTGACTAACTATATTACACATTGCAAATTTTATAATAAATATGCTGGTTCGTTTGGATATTCTTCAACAGATCCAAGTGGAAGTGAAAATCATCTAGCTAATATGATACGAGACCGAGTGAGAGATAAACTGAAAGCTGTAAAGGTGAGAATATCAGTATAGTGCTTATTAGAATATTCAACAAATGTACTTCTTAGAGAAATTATATGTTCTGATGTGTACTGTTTCTACAGGCAGGGATTGCAAGTTCATTCACTGTACAAGAATCAATAACATCTGCACAGACTCTACAGCCCCTTAGTGGTAAAGACCCAGTGACGAGATTTAACAGGACAGTAAGTTTAAACAAAATTCTTAAAGACTGTATAGATAGAACAATGTCACATCAACCTTCGGAAGGGGCACTATATATATTATAGGACGTTTCGCCCACAAATATACAGTCAATTCACTTTACAGCATATTCTGTGAAGCGCTTTGAGACGTCTAGAAGACGTGAAAAGCGCTATATCAAAGGCAAGGATTATTATTATTATATAAGTTTGACAAACTATTTTACATTGGTCACTCAGTTTATATGGTGAATTGTGTACTTCTGAGTTCACAGACTGATCATTTATAATGTAGATATTCCTTTAAAATTGACAATCAGTAGAATCTTCAAGATTCCAAGAGTGTGCCAGTTTTTCTTGCTTGAGATTCTCCTTGACCAACTATCCTCCAAATTAATTGATAATTCACTTCATGGCTGTTTGTGCTGCAAAGTGTTTCAAGATATTTGGACATTATTGGTGCTGTATCAAACGCAAAATATATATATACAAAAAAACACAAAATTACATTTGTATGGCGCTTTTCATGTCGGGATGATGTACCAAGGCGCTGGAAGTCAGACTTTCAGACCCGAGCTGGGGGTCGGGATTGGGGAGGTGGAGGGCAGGTGGGTAAGCAGGGTGATCGAAAGCACAGTCGAAGAGGAGGGTCTTGAGATGGGTCTTGAAGGAGGCAAGGGAGGGGACGAGGTGGAGGATCTGTGGGATGGAGTTCAGGGGGGTGGGAGCAGGGAGGAAGAAGCCGGGTGGGTGAGGTGGGGGTTGTGAAGTAGACCGGAGCCCGCTGAGTGGAGGGAGCGGGCAGGATGGTAAGGGGTTATGAGGTCGTAGAGGTAAGGGGGAGCAAGACCATGCAGGGCTATATATTATTATCCTGAAGAATTCTACCAATTTTTCATTTGGTAGTATTTAAAGTTAATATTCTTCCTCCAAGTTCATATTCTGTTCTTACATATTCCTGAAATGAGCAGATCATGTATTTAAAGCTTAAATCTCTCACTATCCCTTTAAGATATTTCTAATTTGGATATATATCCATGGCATAGAATACACCTTCATTTGAAGAATGATACCCAATACATTTAGGGCTGAACAATTTATATGATACGTTTGAAGCAAAAATAAAGTTTTACATTTGTTTTAGTACACTATCCTAAATTTCAGCATGATACTGAGCTCGACGAGGAAGGATCTACATTTTTTACTGGTACTTTTGAAGACGCATCTGATTCAGGAGCAGAAGACCAAATGACACAACTAAATGAGTTATCTGATGATCATGTTACTGGATTGGAAACAGCTAGAAGTTCCACTTCACAAAGAATGGTAAAACAAGACAAGGTATTTTTAGGATTCAGGACTGTAAATGCAGTATCTATTGCACAAGTTACTTTAGCAAAGTAAAATTATCTAAACTGTATAATGTTAATTAGACAGTCAAGATAATAGACATAATTAGATTTGTTAGCAAGCTTTCATGCCTTTTAAACATATTTCCATCTGCAGTAAAATGTTTATAAAATTATTAGTAAAACGTACTTAAAATTCATTATGTATTCTTTTGCTCAAATTAATGACTTTTGACCTTGTGACCATTTAACTGGTTTGAATTTACTTTCCTTGATTGCTCTATCAGTACTGTAGCACCTGCATGCTGTCTGGTGATGGACAACTCTACAAACAATAGTACTTTCTCTCTCGTACACACCCACAGAGAATAATTTTAAGCATTGATCATTTTGCTCACCAATTTAGTGATGGTTAATGGACCACTTTTGACACTCATTATCAACAAGGACAAGATAGAGTACAGTCCAAGTCAGATGCAGAAGCTGTATAGCCTCTAGGACATGTTATTCATTTATGTATGGGTACCACATTGGGGGCAGGTACATCTAAACTCAAAGTCGCCCTCATTAGATTCAATTCTTATGTTTAAAAAAATACTTTGTGTTTTCACAATTCAGTTTGATATTTCTCCTTTACTATTAGGTATTAGAAAAATGGTAATGACTTCATTTACTGGATGTCAGATTTGATTTTGCAAATATTTATGTTTTTCTGTTTAGGAAGAGCTGGAAAAGCCAATCCAAGAAACTGGTGATCTATCAGAAAGTGAAAGCAAACTTGATTTATACTTGAGTGACTATTTACTTTCCGATATACTAGAAAGGGTACCTGCTGCATATGAATCAAGAAAAGAGCGAGAAAAGCAAACACAAAACCTTTTCAATCCCAGAATGTCACTAGGTAGCATAACTAGATTTTAAAAATAATTTGTACAGCATTATCATTTGCAAAGTACAATAGTTACATTTTTATTACAATAACCCACCAATAGTTATCATTACAGGGTATTGTAAAAAACATATTTACTGCAGAACTGTAATTTCTTTTTAAAGTTTTTTATGTGGCCTGATTTTCCAGAAATTGCTTGATATATCAAAACAAATTCTATTCTTAGTGCCTTCAAGTAGTAAACTGCCAGAAAATGTTGAACCCCGTTATCTAGAGGAGGAGGGCTTCCATATTTGTCACAAACCTTATGTGTTGAAGAAAAATTTGAACAAAATGGAGAATCGCCTTCTTAAACAAACAGAGGTAATTTTACAACTATAAACTGATCTGGTATTCTCTGTAAATATACGAAGTTTGGAAGTATAGGAAGTATATAAACAATTACAGCATTTTGTGGGTTCAGAAGGAAGTGTCGTAGCAAGATGTCAAGTAAAAGCAAGAAAATTGTTATGCAAATCAGCCTGACCACCCCAACACCTTTTGTTGGGTTTGAATTGACAGAATGGCATTGCAGAGGGCTAGATGGTTCACTATGAGCCAGCTGAGTCTGGGAAGTGTCTGTAGTATGGAAGATAGACCTAAAATAAGAAAACAATATAAAAATGGAAGGAAAACTAATTGAAATGTAAAACAAATCACTGCAGCTATATAACTGTTAATTCCATTTGTAGTTAACAACCCTCATATCAAAGTTCCACATTGGGATTTCAAATTTAGGGTTGAGTCTGACAATCTGGTTGTTTTTAAGAGAAGTGGGATTAAGAAGTAACTACTTCCACTGTTTGCAATTGAATTAATGGATATTTATTTAGTACTTTAATACAGATATTATGATTACTGATATAGCAGGAATTCAAAAGACTTTACAGTGTATCTGCAATATGTTTATGACAGAAAGAGGACTGGTTTGGTGAAGATGGGAATATGATTGCTTTACCAGACCCAATTAAAAAACTCTGGAACTATACACTACCAACATCGTATCTTTCAGATGATTTTGAATCAAAATTAGAGACGGTATACAGGAAAGTATGTGATCATTCTCTTCCCTTCTGTTGTTCAGGCTATAATTTTACAGATCCTAACAAAATAAATACTGCTTTGAAAAATACAATGGAGCCTACAGATCTGTTTATATTAAAATGTATAATATTTATTTCAGATTACTTAAATTAATTTAAATCTATATTGTCAGAAAGCTCAAGAAGTAAAATGCTAAGCCGCAAAGTGCAAGCCTTCATGATTACAATTTTTCAAAATCGAATTTAACAGTTTGCCCCTATCCATTGTTCTTCAGTACTGTTCTCAAATGGATATTTATCGATTCAAGATCCTCGTTCACATTTGGAAATCACTTCATGCTCTGGCACCTCCCTACATCTCTGATCTGCTTGCACTCCACTACCCATCCACCGCCTTTGCTCCGCTGGCTCGGATCTTCTGCACTCCCCTCGTCGACTACACTTCCACTATTGGCCACTGGGCTTTCAGCCACTGTGCTCTGAATCTCTGGAACTCCCTGCCTCAATTCTTCGGTTTTGCTCCCTATTTGCTCATTTTTCTAAACCATCTGAAGACTTTACTCTTCGACTGTGCTTTCGGTTACCTCCCCACTCTTTTCAGTTTGGCTACCAAATGGAGTGAGCTTTACGTATCCATTAATCTTGATACAAACATTATTATCTTAGTTTTGCTTTCAAGATCCAAATTAATTATCCTCTTTAAATCTAAATCATCTGTCTTCTAGAATTCATACCTTTAAAATTACTGGTTATTGCTTATTAATTGCCTTAGTTAATATAAAATAACTTATTTCTTTATACAAGGACTGAATTTCTGTTACAAATAAGTACTTAAAATTATTCGTTTTTTTATATTTATTGTTTTTATAGGCTGTCAAGAGTGACTCAGGTCATCATATTGTGACAACTATAAGAGCCACTCATATCTACCAATTGGATATTGATATTTCAAGCTTGCGTTTTACTCACCATCCATTATTTAGCAAAGAACATGTTCTGGCAGCTAGGCTTACACAGCTTTATAACAATTATCAACACAGACAACAACAAAATGTCACTGAGGTCCTAACAGAAAAAGTAAGCTATCGCATTTGAGACTGTTTAAGAAAAGAAATTTGAAATAATTTAAGGATGGAGAATAATTTAAATTATAGAATAAACCTTTTAACCATTTATACAATTTCAAACGTGTCTGGGAAAAGTCTGGATAAGTATCAGACTTCAGTTTAATATCTCATCTGGAGAGTGGCACCTCTTACAATGCAGCATCTCTATAGCACTGCACTACCACGTCATCCTTCACTATGAGCTCAAAATCCCCAAATAATTAAAGGAGTATTATATATGATTTGAAAGATGTATATATAATGATTTAAAACTATCTATGATGCTTTCCACAATGGTATTTTTTCATAGCTTCAAACACTGGAAAATACCATAAAGAATTTAGAAAGTCACTTGGAAAGAAATTCTATAAATATTGGTAAAATTGAAGATTTAAAGAAACATATAAGGTATGTGTTCAAATATCTATTTATTCTTCAGTCTCCTGCTTCCTTATAATAATAATAATCCTTGCATTTGATATAACTCTTCTAGACGTCTCAAAGTTCTTCACAGAATAGACTGTAAAGTGAATTGATTGTATATTTGTGGGTGAAATGTGGCAGCCAATTGTGCACAGCAGTGTCCCACAAACAGTCGTGGATTGAAATTGCCAATTTATTATTGTTTTTTTTTGAGGGATTATTATCAGGCGTGTGGAGTAAGGAAACTTGCTCAAGGTTTCACCCTGCCGGGAATCGAACGCTGGTCTCTCGCTTGCAAAGTAAGTGCTCTAACCACTGAGCTACAGGACTCCACAAATATGGAGGTTTGCATTTGAGAAGAACTTATTCCACAATTTCTTCCCTTTTAGCATCTGTTTGATTTGTGGATGTGGACAAATACAGATAATCAAACTCATCATGGCATCATCTTATATGTGTATTGGGACGTCCTCCCAACATGAAAAGCGCTAAACAAATGTAATTTGTTGTTGTTGTTTTCTAACTAGTAAAATCTCACAACCTTTTACAGCTAGAAGTGACCAAAATTAACAGGACTAAATTTTAAAGTTCTCCTCACAGCAATATCAAATACTATCTTCATTTGCTGCCTGTACAATAAAACCCTCTGTAGTAATAGGTTGGGCAAAACATTTCGAAACATTCATCCTGATATGTAGCAGAGGGTTAAAGGAGAGCAATCAGCAACAGCATAAATTTTGTTTCCCTCCCTAAATCAGGGATACTGATATCAGTCATAAGAGCCCCATCATTGTATTTGCTGAGATTTCACAAGATTATAAGATTGATTTAGATGAAGAAGTCCCTTCAGTCCATCTGACCTCAACCCACCAGAATACTCACCTGACCATCCCCCCATCACAGCATCGAGCGACTTTTAAATGCGTTCAATTTCTTGGCCTCAACCAGCCTTCCTGGCAACCTGTTGCAGTTGTTAATTACACTTTGAGTAAACCATTTTGTAAATTGTTGAATCAAAATTGTATATAAGTTGTTGCAATAGATTTTGAATGTATGTATTTTAGAGAAACGAGGAGACTGCTGGCTGTTGAACGGGAAAAAGATCATACTCTGATTAAAAACATTTTGACGGTCTGGAAACAGATCAAGTCTTTGCGTAAATTTCAACAGTGTATTTGTACTCCAGTAAAACTACAAGTGCAAAAGTAAGTTTGTTTTCCTTTAGTAATCTTAATTACTTTCTGTGCACAAATAAAATAATTTGGTTATTTACTTAGTTTTGTTTATTCTATGTCTAGGTTTGAGAACCAGGTGTTATTGTTCAATATGCACTTGCTGCATTTGATAGGTTCTATCCATAGTCTGTCACTAATATCAATAACAGTTGATGTTCTTAATGGTAGAGTTTGTAGTCTATAAATTTGCAACATGAGTAGGTGAATGAAATACAAGAAACATCGTGCCATCTAATGTGCCTTCAGGTTCCAATTTTTTTCAACTTTTCTAGTCTTTCTCTTTTTCATTCAAGAGAATCATAGACCCAATAATTGAATTACAGACCAATTATAGAACCAATTTAGTAGTGATGCACCAACAGGTTGCATAAAACATTTTTGAAACATTCATCGTAATGTCTTAAGTGAAAAGCACTATAGAAATTCAAGTTTGTTCAATATAGTTTTAAAATCCGTGTATTTAATTTTTTTGTAATCAATCATTTTAAAATTATTAAAACTAGCTGTAATGTGAATATACTTTATAGATTAGACGAGTCAGATCTTTTCTCATACCCAGTACAATATCAATTTCTAAACTATATTAGTATGCTATAAATACAAGTTGATTTGTTATAAACAGGATGAAAGTGAACCGTAACAAAATTGAAAGCCAATATAAAGTGGAATTATTTGCAGAAGTAATTGAACAGGAACAGGAACTTCAAGAAACTTACAGGAAAGAAATGGAGGTGTATAAAGAAAAAATGCAATTATGGAAAAAGAAACAGGTATAAATTATAAAACAAAAATAGCATTTATGGTGTTCAGACCTAAGATTTTTATACTATGTCAACAGAATAGTTTTACTTCTGGTTACAGGAAGATTCATTTTTGTTTGTTTTATTTCCCTTCTATTTGTCTGTTATTTCTTTATACAACTTCCTACAGTGAGACCGAGTGGTCTGATTGACAGCTTCAATTGTATGCAGATCAGAATATTGTACATCTGACTTTGTAATGGTTGCTTGATTTAAACAATGTTCAAGCAATGTTCAAGCTGACAAGAATGCAGATCACTTCATATTAATCCTTTAATCATTTGTAACACTTGATTTTAATAAATTAGTGACAAGGAACCCCTTTACTATCTTACATAGATTTAAGTTTGTTTTACTGTTTCAGTAAATGAATTTAGAATGCATTAATTTGAATCCCAATTCCCCATTCAGGAGCACTTTTTACATCTCAGTAACAGGATGTGTATGTGTCCTGATTTACGTGTTGTGAATCGAGTTACAAGGTGGCACACCAGTCCAGCTTGATTTTCTAAAGTGGAAATCAAATTTTTCACTTTAGGAAATGAAGCTAGACTGGTGTACAACCTTGTAATTTATATTTCCATCCTTTTATGTTAGCCAGCAGCTGCTGTTTAGCATGAAGCATTGGACCACTGTGAAATATTTATACAATAAATGAATAAGAAATGTAATGGTTCAGTAATAACTTAAAAAAAATAAAAAATGTTAATGTATTGCCAGGGAACCACAGGATATGGAAAAGGAGAGAAATCAGTTGATGAATATACAGACTATGATCTAGAAAAAACACCGGAACCATCTGCTCCACTCGATAGAGCAGCAATCGAAGCTATGGTGAAAAGAAGATATAAGTTGATTTCTAGACAACGTGATGAGCTGATTCTAATTCCTGAACTTTCACTGACAGCAGATGTAACACTAATATCAAAGTGTTTTTGGTACTGTGTGTTTATTTGTATTCTCAGTTAATGCTCCCTTTTCAACTATTTTGATAATTTTGCTATTAATCAACTTCATTTCCAGATCTAGAAATATTGCTTAATTATCCAGCTTTGCTGGCACATAAGGTAATGTAATTGCTGGGAAAAAAAAACATATTTCTCTTTCATATGGCATCATGTGTTATGCTATTGGGGTCACCTATATGAGTTTTCCCTGCGTCTCCATGGTATGAAGGAAAGCTTCTCCTAAGCACAGTTGATTTGTTTGGAGGCATGTTCACCATGTCTTCAAGAACTGTACCTTCAATTGCATTGTTTTTCAGTAAGTCTCTTAGCAATGTTTTACATCATTTTTGTTCTCATTTTTATCATCTTTGCTGGTTCATAAAATTAAGGCTTGCAATGTAGTTAAGAACTTCATAGAACCAAGTGCGGTTACAAAATATTCTGAAAATCGTGGAAGGCAAGAGTCTAAAGAGTATTTTACCAACTGGTCCGCCTCCAATCTCCTTTGCCCTACCACATATCTAGTTGTCACCTGATTCATTTCTTCATTGTATTCAAAAGTCCCACTATTACCACTCATCTTTGTAAAGCACACAAAAGACATCTTTAAGCTGTACAGTGTTTATTAAGTCACACTTGGAATACTGTATGCAGTTCTGTTTTCTGTGACATGGGTGAGTTAGGGCTGCCCAAGATCTAGAAGCAAAACAGAAGTGAACAATGACGATGGCACTAAATTTTGTATAGATAAGATACAACTCAAAGTTGGAAACTGAACATACCGGAAATGTAGCATTGTCTTTCACTATTTTGAAGAGGTTAACATTCTTTATCAGATCCATAGCTAACTCAAATAATACATTTGAGGAGTTCTCCGTTTTTTAACATTTGTTTCTTGCAAGTAAATTGGTAAATATTTTATAAGTGACACAATGTTTAATACAACATATTCTGAGTAATTAATTTGAACAGAAACCCTGCTGCAAATGATCTTTCATTTACCATTGTTCAACTTGTATTTACTTTTAGGGAGGAAGTACAGAGAAGGATGGAAATAGAAGAACATAAATTCTTTATTAATATTTTCTACAATGAAAAACTTGTTTCTTCCACTGCTGTCTGTAAATTACAGTTAGATTTTCATGTTCAATTTAAGCAGATATTCAACATTCAGATAATTCATGATCCTGAAAGTATTAGACTGGAGGTAATTGCCTTTGAATTTTTTAAGTGTTCCAGTTAAATTTTAAAGTTTACCATTGTATATTACAATATACACTTTTGTAAAAAATGTTCCAAGTGTTTGTTTTTCAACAGGCAGAAAGTAATATTTAATATTTTGGGCAGAAATCCAAGTTATAACCCAATTTCTACCTGTTCAAATCATCTGTACTGCATTGACCTGGGTGGAATATGTTTCTGAACAATCCTGAAATCTGCAAACTAAGTTACAAATTGGAAACAGTTTGCTTATTGTACACTTAACATGATTTTCTTAATACATTTACAATATTCCTGGATGTACAGAATTTAGAGCCAACGAAACTAGTTTTGAAAGCTGCAAATAGAATTTCTTCCTATATATATTTTTGGGTAGTTATGGCATTTGTTCACTAAGGAGCAGAATGGAATACTGTCATGTCTTATCCCACGATAAGAAAGTAGACTTTTAGAATTATCTGTTGTGGCAACTGGAACTATAACCGGATGTAGTACTCCAGTATTTTATAAGTGACACAAAGTTTAATACAACATATACTGTAATTAATTTGAACAGAAAATTTTTGTGTTAAAAATAATGTTTCATTTATCATTGTTCAACTTGTATTTATTTTTAGGGAATTGACCATTGTAGAGCTGCAGCATGATTTCCGAGAATCTGCACTGATGGCAAATGTTGACCAGACTCTATTTTTTTTTGCTATTTGTGGCACATCTGAGTTAGCTCAAATCCAGAGAGACCTTGCTTGCTCTTCCCTTTCATCCCCTGAAAGTCATAAGTTGGGTTTACTAGATTTATATAAAAGAACAGTAAGGTATATCAATAAATACATGTTTAATGCTCTTTAAACATATTCTCATCCCCATCCTCACCCAACTCCACTGGCTTCCCATCACACAGAGGATACAGTTCAAGATCCTGGTCCTCACCTTCAAAGCCCTCCATGGTCTTGCTGCCCCCTACCTCTGCGACCTCCTAAACAACAACAACAAAATGACATTTATAGAGTGCCTTTCACGTCAAGAGGATGTCCCAAAGCGCTGAGAACCCTAACATCCTACTCGCTCCTTCCGCTCAGCAGGCTCCAGCCTGCTTCACATCCTCCGCCTCGCTCGCCCCACTATTGGCAGGCAGGCCTTCTGCCACTCTGCCCCCACTCTCTAGAACTCCATCCTGCAGTCCCTCCACCTCACCGCCTCCCTTGCCACCTTCAAGTCCCATCTCAAGACCCTCTTCGATTGTGCATTTTTTGATCTCCCTGCTTCCCCCCCTGCCCCCTACCGTCCCCGACCCCAACCCCCAGCTCAGATACGAAACTCTGTCTGTCCAGTGCCTTGGGACGTCCTCCCGACATGAAAGGCGCTTTACAAATGTACTTTTGTTGTTGTTGTTTAAGGACTTAAGGACGAGGACCATGAAAAAACTAAAAACACGCTTTGATATTTCTCACTGGCCTAATTGTTTTACATTTTAGATACACGAGATCACAAGCAAAATGAACAATATATTAGCAAATGTGTTTGTACCTATTCCTGAAGTAACATTGCTTACTGGCAGTGCTGTTTTGGAAGAGATAGAATTTAGCAGTGCGGAAACAGTTTCACCTAGTCATGAAGGAGTTGGAAGCAGTAAGTGAATTCTTAAGATGTTGCTGACTGTGTAGAATCTTGATGTTTTACAGCAAAGAAGAAGGTCATTTGGCTCAATGTTTGTATAATGGTTCTTTGAAAGAAATACTATCCTGCCTTTTCCCCATACACCTAGAAATTGCAACTTTTTTGATTTTTGGGGGTTGAGTGAGGTTAAGCTCCACTCACCCCCATTAACCGAATTAAACTGAATCATGTTCCACGAGAGAATGAGGGTGTCCCCGCAGACAACAACAACAATAACTTGTTGGTTAGACACCGCCCCTCATGTAGGGTAGCGTCCGAGACTGCTTATACTATCCAAACTCTCTAAGCCCCAAATTGTCAAAGAACAATGTGAACCTGATGCCTGTCTTCATGATCACCCGAGCAAGTCAGATGACTGGATAATGTATAATAATATAATCCTTGCATTTTCACATCTTCTGGCCGTCTCAAAGCGCTTCACAGAATATACTGTAAAGTGAATTGACTGTACATTTGTGGGCGAAACATGGCAGCCAATTGCACACAGCAGTGTCCCACAAACAGTCGTGGATTGAAAATGACCAATTTATTATTATTTTGGTTTTTTGGAGGGATTATTATTAGGCGTGTGGACTCCACAAAATTTTGGATCTAATTTCTGATCTCAGAATAATTCAAACACAGTATAGAAGTACTAGTCAAGAATTAAATCAAGTAGACTAAACAATTGCATTAATTTTGTTGAAAACATGTTTCAAGATCCAAGATCCTTCTGTTTAAATTAGTAATATTCACATTTTCATTTTAGGCATGACATATTAAATAACTGAACAGATCTAGTATTTTGTCATTCATTAACTCATGTTTTCAATGCATAGATACTCTTTTATTTTTGGATGAATATAATTCTGAACCAGTTTTATTAATGACATCTGGAATAATAATATGTGCTGTATCATGGGGAATCGATAAAAATGGCAATGCTCTTTCACCACCTGCACCAAGGCCAAAATCCTTTATAGAGAGGTAAGTCTGCATATCAAATAATTGTAAAATAATTCTTCATTTCAATTTACAAAGATGTATCTCACATGTTATTGTTCTGAATGTATAACAGGGTTGAAATGCAGAAACATTGGAAATTGTTTTAGTTAGACCTAGATATGTTTGCCTACAAATATATAGTCACTACACTTTTAACTATATCCTATAAAGCACTTTGAGATATAATAAAATAATAATCCTTGCATTCGTTATAGCACTTTTCACATCTTCTAGACGTCTCAAAGCACTTCACTTGTAAAATGAATTGACTGTATATTCTGTTAGCGAAACACGGCAGCCAATTGCGCACTGCAGTGTCCCACAAACAGTCGTGGATTGAGTGACCAAATTATTATTGCTTTTTTTTCTTGAGGGATTATTATCAGGCATGTGGAGTAAGGAAACTTGCCCAAGGTTTCACCCTTAAGGAAATCAAACTCAGGTCTCCCGCTTGCGAGTCGAGCGCTCTAACCACTGAGCTACAGGACTCCTAATGTCTTATTGATATGAAGCTCAATATATTTAAGGATTATTATTATTTATAACACAATTTTACTTCAGCGTCACTGTGATCCAACAGCACGAGATGGACATTTTTAGAGATACATACTGGATTAGAGAGACAGAGAGATAAACACACAAATAATAATAATAATAATAATCCTTGCATTTGATATAGCGCTTTTCACGTCGGGAGGACGTCCCAAAGCGCTTCACAGAACATACTGTAAAGTGAATTGACTGTATATTTGTGGGCGAACGCGGCAGCCAATTGCGCACAGCAATGTCCCACAAACAGTCGTAGATTGAATATGACCAATTTATTATTGTTTTGGGTTTTGGAGGGATTATTATTAGGCTCTATGTGGAGTAAGGAAACTTGCCCAAGGTTTCGCCCTCTGCCTGGAATTGAACTCAGGTCTCTCGCTTGCAAAGCGAGTGCAAATAGAGAAACAGAGTCAAACAGAGGGAAAGAGTCTGTCAGAAAGATAGAGAATGAGTCAGGGAAGTCAGGCAAACAAATTAAGAGACAGAGGAAGAGAGTGTTTAACAGACAGCTACAAAAAAGGAGAAAAACAAATGTATGTTCTGAAAACAATTGTAAATTATATCTAATTTCAGTGACCTAAACACCATTGATGCTATTGCATCAATTGGGGTGTCCTGGTTGAACGATATACAGAAACTTGCTGAATGGGCAAAAAAAGCTAGAATTGATCCCCATGATCCCCAGAATTCAAGCCTGATGCAATTAATTGAGGTTAGTGTGTCATTTATTAAATAGCAAAACAAATCCTCTGTATTTCCTTATGTTAAAATATTAACATTATGATATATATATTGCTTTCCATTCATAATTAAGCTTACTGTAAGATTCTGTAAATAATAATCTATGCTGTAAAATTTATAAAAATACACAAATTACATTCATTAACTTGATTTTTGTCTGTTGTGTTTTCAATTGGTGTTTTTCTTTCACTACAGTACAAAAGTGATGCAGATCAACATGCTCTTCAATACTTTCGATTGGAACAAATGCAAGAAGAGTTTAACTTTGTTACAGATAAAGAGATGGAGAAATCTAAACGTTTTCTGTTGTTAATACTTAGAGATTCTGGAGTTTCTGAATATTCTTACTTTAAGCAAGTGCCTCCGTATGATAAAGAGATACCTGACAGCATTTTTCAGGTATAATTTTTTCCAAAACATAAAAAATCTATAAAGTATATATTTTTTGAAATGTTCATAAGATTGTGGACCAATCGTATACCAACATAAAATGAAGTTACCTGGGAGTAAGTCATAAATCGATTATGAATACTTGCATGGTACACGAGGACTTATGATTCTGATTTAATAAAATTAAAATGTGTGAAAACATTTAAAATATCTATAAAGCATAATAGAAACATTTTAATATAAGATGTGTCCATGTGAAAACAAGTTTGAAAAAGATAAGATTTTTTTTGAAAGAGTTGCGATGCTCTCTTTTAGTATCATTTATTATTTATCCCTTTTATAGTAAATTTCATTGAGATAAAATAGCGTTTTATATTATTTTTTAGGATGTTGAAAGCCAAAAAGATGAAGTTTTTATTATTAGTGGTGAAGACACAGTGGGAGAACAAAGAATAATGGCCATTAAATACTTGGAAAAGGTAGTAAACTGTGTGGATAAAATTCATCGTTTGTAACTTGTAATCCAACAAAAGAATTTCATGCAATACTTTTTTAACGCTATAAAAAGTATAATAGAAAACATTTTAGATTTGACAATTCTAATTCCAGTGGCTGACTTGAAAATAGTTCTGTTCATTCTTAACTAAGTGTGTAAGCATGGAACTCCATTAAACAGTATTTTTAAATTTCTATTATAGAGTAATACATATGATTGTTTTAAAAAATGGTCCTTTAAAATTTCCATAGAAATTCTTTAAGAATTCATTCCACCTGTAGGTGTATTGTTTTGACCAAAATCTTTCTGAAGGCCAGACTCAAGAGCTTCAGAACCATTCACCTACATATTTATCACACTGTTCAGAGTTAATCTATATTGTGCTATTTGGGATGAATCATCGCAGATATCATGGTGATTCTAGTGATTTGCTGCAAAATGTGCAGTATAAACTGAGTATGTGTATTTCTGTTCAACTGAAAAAGAAGCAGTAATGTTGGAAAAAGTCAAGAGAAGATTGTAAATAATGCAGCATTTCATGGAAATTATTCCTTTTAACTCCCAGCTGATACTTTTGAAATATTTTCAATATTTTGATGAATAATTTAAAGATAATAAAAGCTACATGCCCTAGATAAACTATCAAAGATAGTCTTGATATAAAACAGATAGGAAATTTCATATCTTTTTTATTATGACATATTCTTTCAGAGTTTGGTGTGCAGTTTTTATAACTATTTATATTATTACATTAAAGGTAAAAGCAACTGTTGTAAAACGACTTTTAACGGTTAAACATCAATACACATTAGCTGATATTGTTGTTGAAAGTGCTGAAGTTTCCACCATAAGGTAAGATCTTCATGTATTTGTTGAATCATGAAAAAAACTGACAAAATTATTTTAGTCTAATTGGTTCAAATAAATGTGTCCTTTATTTTAACAACTGTTACTGGATAAAATGCTTGTAACTTTTTATTTCATGATTATTGTGAATGATTTGATGTATATGTGTAGATTGTTGAAATCAGGTTTTTTATTTCAGCACGATTCAAAGCACTTAAAGGATGTTTACTATATGTGAATTCAGTATAAATAGGTTTGGTGTAACAATTGGTCGTACTGTTTTTTAAAACAAGACCTACTGTTTTTTCTTTGTGGAAATTAATGTACTAAGTCTATATCAAAATGATGTTACTTAAATGTTTAGTAATATTATATTTTAATTTTGTCAAAAGCATAATAAGTAAAGCCATCCTTAATTTGATTACACCTCGACAAAATTTGAAACCGCTGAGAAAGGAGAGAAAAAAAGTACCTGTACAGACCCTCTCTGATGGTGATATCAAAATGCTCATCAACATAATAACAGCATATAATATACCAATGAGGAAATGCATTTCCAGGTAAAAAAAAATGCACAAAATGTATCTAGTTTGATGCAAAGTCAGTGTTTTCATAGCAAATTATGCTGATTGGTATCATTTCCCATTCTAGACATTCACCAAGAAATGTATAAGACAGAAAATGTAGCTACAAACTAAAATTGGTCATTCCCTTCAAGGCCGTTGGGATGTTGTGCACACAATTGGCTGCTGTGTTTGCCCACAAAGTAAACAGTCACTCCACTTTATAGTATATCTTGTGATTAAGAAATCCCTTAATTAAGAAATACCATAAAATTGATCCGTATTCTCATTTTTGAACATTTCTTTTTGAAATAGATATGAAGAAAGACTGATCAGATGTTCTATCGTATAAGTACTAATTGTTGTTATTGTGATTGTCGGAAAGTATACTTTATATATTACATACTTAAATGAACATATTCAATTTGTTCATTACCAAAATGCTTTAATCTTTGTGATTGGCCAGATGGACTGTAGTTATTCTTTTTGGTTTTGTGCATGGCCATGTAGTAGTTTACTTTTGTTTCAGGGTACCATACCGATCATTCTCCCCAATGGCTGGAATTGCCTCCGGGGGCCATTACAACAAGTCTGCGGGTGAAGAGGATCCTTTTCATCAGGTTCAAAATCTGTTAATCAAAAGGGAATGGGGAGTAAAGAGAGTGGGAGATTAAAGCAATGGGGAACAAATCTGGACTCAGATGTCTTAAGGCTTTGCTTTGACAGTTTTTCTTATAGTTAACTTGGACATAACTAGTAAAAATTTTTTAGCAATGCCTAATATATTGTGTGGAATTTGATAATCATTGTTTTTCATTTATCATTGCTTTAATAATTTTTTCCCCCAGATAGTTATATTTTATCTTCACCTGGATAAATTCTAGCCTAAAGCATTTTACAAACTTCTTATTAAAGCATTAACAGGGCTTACTTCAAAATGTACTGTTAGAGAGAATGATGACATTGCTTTCAATAGATCAAATTTATTCTTTACCTTCTGCAGATTCGAGTCCAACCCTTTGTAGAAGTAACATTTCAACGATCAACATATCAGACAAGTATTGCTGATGGAACCCAGCCATGTTGGAATCAAAAACTTGAAGTTGATTTCAAGTAATGTATATGTATTCTGTTTGCTCCAGACGCTTATTTTCTTCAATATTTTAAATTATAACTGTTCTATGATTAATAATTCAATAATTCTAACATTGTATCACTAAGATCAAATATTTGAACAAAAAGAACTCTGAGTAATTTTGGTTATTCATTTTGTTTGGTTGTTTGATCAGGCTGAGTCACCAAATTATGAAAGTGAAGCTTAAAAAGCTCCTGGGAGTGCTCTGAGATGCTACCCTGTATGGAGGGTACTAAATCTAAATGCAAGGTGGTGTTGTTGGAAGAGCTTTTGCAAAAAGTGAACCAATAGTCCCCTCAGCTCACTAAGAGATTCTGATTATAATAATAGTAATAATCCTTGCATTTAATATAGCGCTTGATCACGTCTGCTAAACGTCTCAAAGCGCTTCACAGAATATACTGTAAAGTGAACTAATTGACTGTGTGTTTTGTGGGCAAAATGCGGCAGCCAATTGCGCTCAACGGGTCCCACAAACAGTCGTGGATTAAGTGACTAAATTATTATTAATTTTGTTTTTGAAGGAATACAATTATATACAAATAATTTCACTTATACCTGCTGGAGAATAAGGCTGGTTATCACCCAATTTTTGCTTGATTATGGACAAGCACATATCATCATCATGCAGAAGCTATCCAGATATCTTGAAATTTAAATCATTAAATACAAATATTCAAGCAGATTGAGCTAATCCAACAATGCAATATAATTGAAATGTTTCCAATTTTAATAAAAATAAATGTATTTGATTACAGATCCCCTAATGGAGATTACAATGGTGCAATGTTATGCAAAATGAAGGATAAAATATTCATCAATGTATTTGATAGTGTAATTTTGGAAAACATAGAGGTAATTCAATATACTTTGAGTAACAAGTCAAATGTATTAAGGATGTTAACTCTTATTTTGTATGTAGTAAATCTTTTCTAAACTAAAGAGTTGCCTAAGTACAAAGGTTATTGTCAAAAGTTATTGATAAACAGCTGGAGATCACAACATTTCTTCACTATAGGCAGTTTATGCCAAAATCTCCATGTGAATAGCGATTACAATATTGTGCTCCTGCCTGATTGTAGTGCAACTTATATTCTGTTATCCATCTTTTTCCATACCCAGTTTATGACCACATTTCAACACGTCACTGTTATTGTATGGAACTAATAGACACTTTTTTTTTAATTCATAGAATGACTGCTACAAGAGTTGCACTGTTAAGCCACGTATTAAACATTGGCTGGGGTCCATTACTATCCCATTTAATACTATCCTTCAGCAATCAAAGGTACTGGTTGTAATAGAATTACAACAGAATAACCCTTATAGAAACATTTTATGGTAAAATGTGAATGTATATAAATTGTTATACTTGCTGCACAATTTCAGGTCAGTGGGACATTCAAAATGAATACCCCACCAATGTTACTCGGATATACCTGGAAGAAAAAAGAGGCAGGGTCTTGTGAAGAATATTTTGAATTTGGTCTTACAGAGGGATCCCTTTTAACATTGTTTATTACTCTGGACCCTCAGATTTCATGTCTAGATGAGGTAAGTTTCCATTTCATTGTGGAAGAAGTAACATTTGAAAACATTTACATTAGAATACAGCATAGAAACAGGTCATTTGGCCCAACCGATCTACGCCGGTGTCTATGCTCCACATGAGCTTTCTCCTGCCTTTTGTCAACTAAGCCTTCCAGCATAACCTTCTATTCCTTTCTCCCTCATGTACCTATCTAGCTTTCCCTTAAATACATCTATGCTATTTGTCCTCCTTGTGGTAGCATGTTCTACATTTCCAATACTCTGTGTAAAAAAAATTCTTCTAACTTCTGTATTTGATCTATTTGTGACTATTTTATGTTGAATGTCCCTGGTTTTGGTCTCCCCACAAGTGGAAACAACTTCCCTATGCCTACCCTATCAAAACCTTTCATCATTTGAAAGACCTCTATCAGGTCACCCCTTACCCTCCTCTTTTCAAGAGAAATGAATCCAAGTATGTTCAGCCTTTCCTGATAGGTATAATTCTCAGTTTTGGGATCATCCTTGTGAATCTTCTTTGCACCCTCTCCAGTGCCTCTACATCCCTTCTATAATGTGGAGATCCGAACTGCACACAGTATTCTAAGTGTGGACTAACCAAAGTTCAATAGAAGTTTACTGTAACTTCCCTGCTTTTCATTTCTATCCCTCTAGAAATTAACCCCAATGCCTGGTTTACTTTTTTTATGGCCTTATTAATTTGGGATGCTACTTTTACTGAATTGTGTATGTATACTGCTAGGTCCCTTTGCTCCTCTACCCCATTTAGGTTTTTATTTTCCAGGATGTATGTGACTTCCTTATTCCTTCTACCAAAATGTACCACCTCACACGTTTCTACATTTGGAAAAATTACTAAATTGGAATATGTATGACCTTTTAGATCACCAAGTAACATAATGATGCCATTCATACCTTTTGTAGCAGAGAAGTATTTGACATAAGTGTGATATCATCTTGACTGGAATTTCAATTATCTGGTTTTCTGAGTATGCTTTAAGTATATTTTATTTTGCTTCAGGGAAATCAACAATCACCTTTGTTGCAGGTGAGTAACATTTAAAAATCACATTTCTAATATATATGCCAACTCATTTATGTAATTTATGTAATACTTGTTAATACAGGATTTTGTTCTATTAAAGTGTATTGACCTTTATTTTAGCTGGAAACAATTGAAGATGAGAAGATTATACAATTGGCCTATCAATTTCAAAAGGAATGTGAAGATCTTTTTCCAAAGAGAAGTCTTATTACCAGTGTCATCGATAGTGAATGCAGAGTTGGGTTTGTCACAAGATACATTAGGCCACTGGCCCCATCACCACAATTGTTAGAGGCTTTCCCTAAGAATTCACAAGCAACTTTGGTATATCAAATTTTTATTTCTTAAGAAATTAATAGAATGTAATGCTCTGACATCCCATTTGTCTGTATATTTAAGTTTTAGAATAAGTTACTCCCTCTGATTTAACCTTTCAATTTATTTATATGAATATTTTAACAAAATGTATTACTGTACCAGAATTATGATGCATCAATAGTTCTTTAACAGTCTGTGTTGTTTCTTTGATATTTGAGTCAATGTAAAACAATACCTTTTAAGCAGTCCAGTGAAAGTAAATGGATAGTTACTCTTATTTATTTAATGTCTAAATGTGGTCAGCATTAGTATTACTTAAACTGTGTGTTTTGTTTTACATTTCAGAGACTTATAGCTAGATTTGTGTCCTTGATTCCATTTATTCCAAGTAGTCTGAAAATTTCTAATAGTTGCAATATTTGGTTAACATCACAGGTAAATAAAATATACTTTGTGAGTTCTCAAACAAACATTAGATATAGTTTAACATTATCTAATGGCTAAAGAATAAAAGGAAATGTAAATTTTGTGCTATTTCAGTAGCTTATTTTTTTGTGCCAGTTCAGTTGCTTAGTAATAGTCCACTGCTGAAAGCACCATCCAGCAGGTCAAAAGGATTATAAAAAAGCAAATGGGATTCTTGATTTTATATTGTGAATACAAAGTGAAATAATAATATTCATTTTATGCAAGAGGGTGCTTAAGCCACAGTTAGAATTTTGGATGCAGTTCTGATCATTCCATTATAGCAAAGTCATTGGTGTCATGAAAAAGATATAGCATAGATATACAAGGATGAGATTAGGAATAAAGGGGTATTGTTATGATAGTACACTTAAAACATTGGAAGATTTTTCAAAGGAACAGAGAAGAAAAATAAGATGAAAAATAACAGAATCTTGAAAAATTTAAAAGATTCTGACAGTATATATTATTTACATGAAGAAAATCAAATAACATCTCAAATTATTGTGGCTTCCATTTAGCAATTTCTTAATCTGGCTGTTGGAGATGAAGCAGAACATGCAGTCCTTCTTTGTAATTACTTCTTGCACATGGGGATGAAGGCTTTTATAATCTTAGGAAACTCAATTTTTGCAGTAAGTACAGTATTTACAAATTGTTCCCTAATTTACTTGTGTAAATCAAACTTTTATGTTTGTGAAATGACTCTTGTTGCTATCAATTACTAGTATGATATATTTTGTGCTTATTTCCTTGTATTGTATTATATGTTTGTCTTGTCTTTTTAGGCTAAATTCATGAGCAAAATGTGGTTGTTTCTTGTAATTGTTGCTTTCCTTGGCTTTTGAATTGTTGATGCAGCTGCTCTTCTGACATATCTGACAACGTTTTATCAATTTTTATATTGAAGGGAGCAACAGTGAATGTGATTACTCAAGAAAAAACAAACACTATGATCTGGAATCCTGAAACTGGGGAATGTTTTGAGCAATTTAATGCATTTTGTTCATTGCAAACTGTTGGTTCCTTGATCAATAATGAAAATGTAAGTTTCATTGGAATATGAAAATAATTGAGAATTGAAAACATTCTAAACAAGCTCTGTCATCTACAGGCTGATAAATTGTTAGCATATTTCGTAAAGATTGTCTTAAACTGTATATGCTTATTCACAAGTTCAGTTTGCATGAAGAAGGCTATTTGACTCATCTTATCTCATCCCTACCATCCTCCCAACACAACATCAAGCTGCATTTCAAATCCAGTGTCCTGATTATTGACTACTACCAACAACAACTCACATTTATCTAGCGCCCTTCACGCAGGGTAGTGTCTCGGTGCACTTAACACAGCCACCATCTGTGTGCCTCTCAAACCTATCACCATAGAATATATGGTGCTGCAAAAGGCCTTCATGTTAAAGTGAATAGTAAGGTCGTATTGCCTATGGAGATATATTTGGGGTTGCTGTGTTAGGGTTGCTTTAGAATAGACTCAAGACACAGGTTACCAACAAAAATAATATTCATTAATAGTGCTTTTCTTTCCAATCTATTATCTACACACTCAACCGATTTTAGTTCTTAATCTTCATCAGGCCTTTCTTATATTACACATACCTGCCTTAATATAATTATAATAATAATCCTTGCATTTGATATAGCACTTTTCACTTCTTCTAGATGTCTCAAAGCGCTTTACAGATTATGCTGTAAATTGAATTGACTGTATATTTGTGGGTGAAACGCAGCAGCCAATTGCGCACAGCAGCGTCCCACAAACAGCCGTGGATTGAAAAATGACCAATTTATTATTGTTTTGTTTTGGAGCGATTATTATTAGACGTGTGGAGTAAGGAAACTTAAAATCTTACTGCAAATTCCAATGAACATGCGTAACATTTACAGATAGCATTTAAATTCCGATTTTCACTTTCAACAATTAGGAAATGAACCTATAACCTCCATAAGAAATCAGATGGATAGTAATCCAGACATGTGGTTAAGAAAATTACAAGCATTAAACAGGAAATTTATTTATTGAGACTGATGATCTTACCCTTGGTTTATAAGCAGTACTGTCAAGGAAGGCAGAATTATTTGTCAAGGGGGTACATATCTGCTTCCATTTCAAACATCAAGATGAAGGGACCTAGGAAGAAATGCAGGCAACACACTGTTTGAAAGCTATTTGAATTAACAGAGAATTTTAGCAAAAGGACCAAAAAGATTTACTGGCATTGAAGATAGAAGTTTTAAAAAAATTCAACTACATCAACAGAAAGATAATGGGACATCACCACAACAATTACAGACCCAGAAATAATGTAGTTATAGACACTATGATTCAAAATGCTGCAGATCCCATCAGATAAGCAATCTTTCTTATGAATTTCACATACATCAGAAAATAATACATTTTTGCGCTGTATCAAATGCAAGGATTATTATTATATTAAGGCAGCTATGTGTATTACAAGAAAGGCCTGATGAAGATTAAGAACTAAAATTGGTTGAGTGAACATAATTTCTGAACATAATTAATAATTGTTGCCTAACTTTTGCCTACAAAATGCAGTTCACTATACTCTAGTAAATCATATGAAGCACTTTAGGATGTTCTTCCGATGTGAAAAGTGCTGTATCGAATGTAAGAATGATTAGGATTTATATTATTTGTGTACAAGAAAATTATGGAATATTTGTTGCCATACGTGATATCTATAAAGATGTACTCTTGCAGATCTGGTTTAATGTTCAAAAGAATAACAATCTTATGAATGTAAGTTTTGACGTCTCGAGGGAAAATAATTGGCACCCATTCTTCAGAAAGAGTTCATCCCATCGTGTGCTTACGAGTGTGCAGGTAATTTATTAATATTGTTAATTTTCTGGGTTGATAAATTTTGTGTTTGAGAATACTCGTCTACTCGACTCACAAAACATAGGTTTTATGGACCTTAACATTAGATATATTTGCCAGTATTCATTCATTTTATTGTTAAATTAATTTTATTTTTAAGATATTGTTACTTTAGTATGGAATAGATTGATTTATTAAAACTAAGACTTAATATCTGATTCAGAACTTGATGTACTTGTAAAATAATCTTTTCTAGCCACAAGAATTAGTCTACTACTCTACAGAAAGAAGCATCGTGATAAAATTACAAAACAGGTAAAATCCAATTTAACTATTGCTTTTTGGACACTAAACATGAATTTCTATTGATAGTAGATCATTCAACCCTAAGGTTCAAAATGATGCAGACCCAATCAGCTAAGCTAATTATAAATTTCACATATCAGAAAATATAGCAATCAATTTCTCAAAATTAATATGTACATTTTATAAGGGTAAGCCAGTCAGATCCATTATGTCTGACCATCTTTATCACACATTCAGCAACAATAATAAAAATAGAATTGTTTCAGCCCATCCTGCTGACTTCAGATTTTCTGTTGGTATCACACAGTAGAAAAAAATCTGAATATTTGTTATAGATTTATTATTTTAGTGATCTCTAGTTTTATCACAACACTATCTTAGCAGTAAGGTAATGATAAATACTGCTGATTGTTGCTCTAAAAAAAGTTTGGTTGAATGCTTTGATTACTATTTACTGTAACTTAGAATTGAATGGGCACTAAAAAACAAAATTATGGAATGGAGAGCTCATCAACCAACTCGGTGGAATCGTTACTGTGCCACGGTGCTTTACAATGCTCTTCCTATATTAGAACAAAACCTTGGACAACCTGTGAGTGAAGAGTACAATATAGAAATAGAATCTTTGTTAAAAGATTACAAGGTTTGTATTGATGTGATTGAATATCTTTAATATTATATCATGCTGATAATTTCCAATTAAGCTTGTTTTGTTGTCATGAGCAAATTTGGCTAGTGAAGTACAGTACATTTGTTCATGTTGCATTCTGCAGGCTTGGGCCTAACAGGAAAGTGAGAGCTCATTAAACTTGAAAGGGATTAAGCAGTTTCTACCTTGTGATGAGGATTTAATAGTCACTGTTCATTGTTGACTAGCCTATCTTACTCATAATGAGACTGGGTCATTATAAATAGGTCTTCAACCATGTGAACCAAAATGCATTCCTTGTTGGACATGTACTATGTTATGTAGTTACCATTTTTTTTTCAAAGTACATGGGAAATAATAATCCTTCCATTTGATATAGCGCTTTTCACTTCTTCTAGACGTCTCAAAGCGCTTCACGGAATATACTGTAAAGAGAATTGACTATATATTTGTGGGCGGAACAAAGATGACAGATTTTATGAATCTCAAATATAGATTTTAAAAAGAGGTAGAAACAGTAATCCACTGAAATGAACGCTGTTTTAATTTTAACAATTATATTTAAAGAGCTAAACCATACTTCTATTGCTGGGAAAATGGTTGATTATGACACAGGTATTTTAGATGATATTTCTTGCTATTTGCCCTTCATAGGTTTCAGGATTTCCAATTCAGATGCGATACACAGAATTACAGATGATAATTGAGAAAGTCAACAGCACAGGTGTCCATAATATAGACCTACCGAACATTGAGTTTGCTCTTGCAGTATATATTCATCCATACCCCAACAACATATTGTCTGTGTGGATCTATGTAGCATCGTTGTTTCCAGATATATAGAATTAATGTGTTTGGAAGATTGATTGTAATCAGTAATATTTGTAGTATTCAAATACAGTTTAATAAACTGAAAGTGAACTGACTGAAATTATTTTGCCCCTTTTAATCAATGCTACATCCCTTGCTGACAGGAGGAACTGAAAACATTACACCCAAGCTCTGCCTACTCACCTTTACATTTGGCCAATAGCAGGTTCTCAAGTGCAACCAGTCCTGGAATTTAACACCTTTCCCTATTATATAATTGAAATGTCTGGCCACCAAACAGTACCTCTCCTTGATGGCATGTTTAAGACCAGAAATTAATGCTATAGGAACTGGTAACATTTTATGGCATAGTAGTTTCCTAAAAATGTACTAAACGACTGTCAAAAGGAATCCTAAATTGTACATTTAAGTTTAATTAGTATAAAGCCAACAGTGTCCTTAAACCAATTAACAGTAAATGGTTTATTTAATTTGAATATTTTGCTTTTCCTGCATTGATAGCTTGAAATACTTGAATACCTCAATACACTAATTATAAATTAGAATAAACAAATCAAAATAATTAGTGGAAAGTTTGATTTAAAAACTATTGACAACTTCCAAAAGTTCAATTTTTAGCAACTTGTGGTGCAGCTAATAAAATAATCTGTTGCCATTTGAGTATGCAAACAATCTGTTGTGTAAGTAACAAGAAAAGTGTAGCATTTTGTATTATTTTGAGTCTTTGGCATTGAACAGTATGCCTTATAAATACTAGATTAGAATGAGCAGATTAGAATGTTTTGCTACTTTTTATAGAAACAGTATTTTAATTTAGTGTTTAATGCTTAACATTTCAAGTAAGGTGGAATTTCAGAATTGTTCAGGGACTGGTAAGAAAGCAGTAATTTTAGAAATCAACAGAAGGCTTTGTAAAAAGTAGAAAACAGAGCACACCATTTTAAAACTGTAAGACAATGAGCTTTAAAGAGTCTTAAATATTCCAGACAAGGAAAAAAGTAATTTAGATGCACCATTGAACAAAAGAGAAAAATATTAAGTAATTTAGATGCACCATTGAACCATTACAATTCTGGCATGCGATTAAATAATAGTTGTTACAAACCATCACGTTTGAAATCAAAAAAGGGAAAAAGATAAACCTTGGTCTGAGTAGTCCTATTGTTGTGTTGCCAAGTGTGATAATGAAATGTAAAGGAGTTTGTTATTGATTAAATGTGGTGGTTTAAAAAAAAATACAAAAATTATTTCAAGAGTTGATTAAGGTTACATGCAAAATATGGATAACACAACAAAATGTTGCATTTAAAATGTATTCAATTTGATAATGGACACATAATTGAAGAAATCATGATACATAAACTTTCTGAAGACACAGGTCATGACATCAAAGTACAACATATTGCAACTTATTTCCTGAAGTGAAGCAAACGTCATCATACTTGCACCTTTTGTTGCTATTACTCATTAGCCATTCACATTCTTAATTCGACACAAGTCAAAGGCAAACATTGTTGAGACATCTGAGGTATCCAGTTATTTCTGTAAATATTACAGTATCCAACAGCAACAACATTGTTTGATTACATTTGTCACATTTAAAAATGTTAGGCTTCAATTAGAACTGGTTGTACGTTTTCAACAACAGATTTGTGCAATTACCTTTCAAAACATAGTGCTGTGCAGCTATAATACACTGATTTGGTAACTTCGGTTATAGGATATATTCATAGCAGATTTGACATCTACAGATGTAGTTAATGGCATGGCGACATTAGCCTGAAAGTGTCCACAAGTTGTTATCTTGGCTTGTATACTGGAAGAGAATGTTGGCAACATGTATCCTGGTATTTGAGTTGCTGAAGATAGGCAGTTCTACTGTCTGGACTGTTGGTGAGAACACTGCATTTGATGTGGATGCACACTGCTCAATCTGTGCTTGGGGTGAAGTTGCAGAATGAATTGAGAAAGACGTCTGGCTGGATTGTTGAACCTGCAATTGGATCTTCTGCTTACTGGCTTCTTTTACATCATTGTCATGTGCACTGCAAGCAAACATTATAATGATTAAAATCAGGTAACATCTCAAGCAGTAGTCCCTTATCAAAATAACTACACTGCATAAATTTTTACTTACATCAGCAGATTTTCAATGCAGGATAACAAAGAATCCCATGTGTAATCAGTAAGACAATGCAAGCGAGTAGGCCAGGGAGGAGAGAGCCTAAGAACAGCTCTAGATGCTGCTATGCAAGCAGCAGCAACAAGCGAAGGAGCATAATTTAGAAAGCCATGGTCTGCAAAGGTAAAATAAAACATGGAGTCAATTGAAACCCCTGTGCATTTTACTTCCTGGATCATTGGGAAATTAGCTTAACATCTAGTAAAGAGAAATTACTATTTGCCTGCTGGATCTTCGCAATTATGGAGTAAACAAACAAGCCCTATCAAATAGTAAATAGTAAAAATAATAAATAATAACCCTTGCAATTAATACAACATATTTCACATAAGAAGAATGTCTCAAAGCACTTTAAGATATATAATATAGTGACTATTTCATAGGTTAACCCCTACAAAATAACACCCAAAATAAGTCTTTTTAAGAGTGTACATTTCCACAAAATTTACTTTTGTAAAAAAAAGTAATTTGCTACAAATGAAAGAGGACTTCACAATTTTATGCCAGATAGTTATAAGTATTTTTTGATATTAAACTTCCCCTTCTGCCACCACATAAAACCTTGCAGTAAGAAGGGGGGGAATAAGTCTACTAGTTAAGTCATAATATGAAAAAAGTGTATAAGAGTAAATACCTTGTAAGGACACTTCTAGAAAGTAATCAGAGTATTTATGCATGTACACCTTGATCTTCTCCAAACAAACCATGGGCCAGCCATTGTGAACGTCTGATGTATGTACCGCAGCTGTGAGGTAGTAGTCAATAAAGTGAGCAGCAGTAGGTAGACACAGGTTCCATTGGAAAGTTTCCAACAGCAAGAGCTCCATTTGCAATAGGTTCTGTTTGCTCAATGCCAGGTTCATGTTAGTCATGCAGCCAAGACTGTTGAGTTGTTCAAGTTTAGGTACACATTCTTCCTTTTCCTCAAATTTGCCTGATTTAAATTAAAGTCATAGGAAATTAATATTTGAAAATCCTCACATTTGGCTTAAAGCAGCCACAAACAGCCTATACGCTCTTTTAAAAAAAAGTATTAGTAGTTATGCATCTCTCTATTCTATCAGCTGTAATAAGACTGCAATAGCAAACAATTACTTGTACAATGAGCATTTGTGCAGTTCCAATCAAAAAGTTCTGTCCAATCAACGAAAGTGCTGTCCTAACTGAAATAGATTTGCATTTAATAGATTGCTTATAACAGAAAGCCACCTATGACATTAAAAGGGGAAGGTGGAGCCAGAAGCAAACATAAACAAACAAGAGACATTCTGGTTTTTCATACTCAGCAACCCTACATTTCAAAAAGGCTCAATGAAGACTCCATATTGAGGGGGCATTAGTAACTCTAAATCACTGAAGCTATTCCACTGATAGTTATGTACAAAATTAAGCCGATAAGTTCTTCCCAAAGAAAAAAAATACACAAAATGGAAGCAATAAGATTCAGAATTTTGACTGGTTTGGGCTTGTGCTGAATTAGCTAATCATAGCTGGGAAGCTATAATTGAGCCTCAGTGCTTCTGTCTAGGAAGAGGAGAGAAAAAAAAATCATGTAGGTTTCCTTGCCGAATACCCACTCAATTAATTCACTAAGAAAGTAAGTTTATATGCATCACAAGTGGAACAGGAAGAGGTATAGTGTCCTACACATCAAGCAGTTAGCCAACATATACTCTAGGGATCCGCATGAAAAATGGCCAACTTTGGCGTGATGTACTGGAGGGCTTTGGTTACCTTTGGAAGTGAACCCAGCAAAAGGCTAATTCTTTTAGAAAAGATAAAGGGAGAAAAATGGCCTTTTTAAAACAAATGCATTGTTCTTAAAAGACTCAAACTTTATTTTTTTTTAAAAAATCACTCTACCTGAATTATTCTCTAGCATTAATTTGGGAATGATTTAGTTCAATCAGAGCAAATTAAGGCCAAAATGAATTAATTTCATGCATTGTCTTTGTGCAGATATAAATAATGTACAGGTACTTAATGCGAGAATAACATTTAAAAATTAAAATGTACAATACTACACAATTGCAATTTTCATAGTTTGATAATACATCACTTACTTGCTAAAAGTAAACAGGAGAGTGCCACTACATGCAATTGCTGAACGGAAATGTTGCAACGGTCCATAAACAAGTCTAGGAGGTAGATAGCAAGATGCCGGGTTGTGGGACAAAGGCAAAAATGATTGCTGATGATTGCAAGAAGATCTGCAAAATATCGTCGGAGATTCAACTGTGGAGACTGGCTTTTGTAAGGGGTTAGTTTCACCTCCTGGGCAAAAAGAAAATATAAACATAAAAATAGAATTCTACTATTTTGTAAAATACACAATAGTTTATTGCAACATGCTACAGTAGTTAGAGTTTTGACATATTAACTGAAAGACCAGGGCTTGAGTTTCACACTCTAGTTTGAGACAAGATACTTCGCCAGTCTCAGCCAGTTGAATTGTATAGGAAGAGATGCGAAAAAACAACCCAACTGGAAATGGGAAGAAACACAATAAGTTCCAATAAACAGTCAAGTATGCTCCTTCAGAGAGATTAAGGCTTGGAACCAATAGCATCCATTCCAGTTTGTTTCCCTGTGTGTAAGTAAAATCTGAAAGAAAGAAAGAAAAAAAAGGGCCCCAAACTGGCAAATTTCTGAGGAATGCTTGAAATGAGGTCCAGTATTTTAGTTGCAAAATTCATTGCATTATTGAATGCAACAATGCTGGGATCTACACAACTCTAGATTAAAGACCAAGAAACAGCAGATTATATCATTTGGTACTGTAATACTATAGTACTCTTGGCCTTAATGAATTGGGATAGAAAAAATAGACTTACTCAAGATTTCTACTTCGGAGCACAAAAAGTGATCTAGGGCTTGTGAGTTTACAGAAAACCAATTATGATGACCTCCATGTGTTCAATAATTACAACCCAAAGCCTTGCTTTAAGAATGTTTTGACATGTCACAAAATATGTTCATATTAGGTACAACAAATAGGATCATCAGAAGAAAATCTGCACAATTAGATTGAGAGAGATGGTAACGACAAACTTCTAGTTAGCTGCTCAAAATTAAAGCCTGTACAAACTCTAGCTGAAGCTTATTCAAACTGCACTTTTGCTCATGTGAGAAATATACCTTGTTTCGAAGAGCCTGATGTATATCTACAGCCAACTGTCCTTTCCACCACTGTTCCTCCAGCTCCATTGGATACAATAAGTCAACGCTTTTTTCCTCCTCCTGAAAAAACGCACAACGTTCAGCCAAAGTCTGGGCTATTTCCACTGCTCCTTCAACAGTACTGCAACATACTGGCGGTTCAGACTGAACAAGTCCCAAACCTTTCCCGTCCTTATCAATCCAACGAATTAACGCCAATTATTCGTACCCACCGGACAAAACTAACATCGACCGCTGATGATAAATTTTCGATCCGGCTAATGGTTAGTTTCAATTGCGTTTGCAAAAACATTCTGCACAGCGCACCTGAAAGTTATTGTTTTTTGTTGGTGGTGGTTTTTTGACAGTAAAGCAGCTCTAAGATTGCCAACTCACTAATTGCAAGTGACTTGACTTGCAGCCCAGGAAGTGCGGAGCCCAACTTAAACGAAGTGTATCTATCCATTTGGAGGCACAAACGCTTCCGGTTATGAGTGACCACCTTCGGTGTGTTTGGTGTACAGTAGTTACAGTAGCGATTGCTGCCGCTCTGGGGGCGCTTTTAATACACTATTAATACGGGCAAAGTCACCCGTCAAATGTTGCGACCCCCCCCACCGATCTGTAGACGAATGCAAAAGTTTCTTTTCGCAATTGTTCTGTTCGGATTCGCTCGCTGTTTTTTGCATTGATTTGGGGGCTTTTTTTTTCCCCACTGCCCGGTTTTGGAATTGCAAACTTTCAAGGTTTGGGTTCAATTTCCTTTCAGCCTCTTGCAGCCTCTTGGCTCAATGCACGGAAAGGCAGTGAGCCGGAGGGCACTCACTAACCACATTGTCTCCAGTTTCGGTGCTGTTTCTCTGCTCCCTTTGATTTTCATGTATTGGTGCTTATGTCCCCCACCCCTTCCCATTCTGAAATCTGAGAGTATCATGAAATGCATTAGTAGATCCATTAATTCAGAAATTGTGACAGACATACAGAACAAGCACTTTATCGGTTGGTGAAAGAAAATCGAGGATCTAATCAATACAGGGAGAGGTATGATTAAAGTATTATAACTAATAATTAATTTGAAGCCAGCCTGGCTCATCGGTATGGCCTGGAAGGGCAGATGAGTCAATGCCAATGGGATTCCATCCACTTCAGCTCCTGTTAAACCTGCAAAACCAAACTCTTAACCTGAGTAGGGTGGTGCGAGCTGGATAAGCAGGGTCAGGCTTCCCAGACAGAGCTCTCAATGGCAAGCTCTCTGGTTTCAGATGGTTAAACCACAGCACACTCTGGGGTCTCAATCCTTGGTTCTGTGCCCAATACTCTCTGGAATTAGGTAAGCAGTATGGGTCCCTGCAGGGAGTGCGCACATTTCATTCCAGACGCACAGAAAAGTTCCAGTTCCAGAAACAGGAAACTTCCACGTGTAGCCGGTACACATGTGGAACTCTTCTCTGGTTTGGATATTCATTGATGTCGAAGGGTTTCTGCATGTCGGACACCTTTTTGGCTGGCCAAAAAAATAAGTCAGCTGTGGGGTATAGAATTGCACCTACGCAATAGGAGGCCCGACGAGCAGAGAGGTATAATCAGAAAAAAATGACTAGGCACTAACTTATTTTTAAAAGTACCATAAACAGAATGTATTCGTAATATACCTCAATATCCTTGGAAGACCAACTGCATCTTGTGCCTTTGGTTCTCTGTTCATACCCTGTTTATTTATGAAATATTTCCAGAGGATGGAGCCAATATTTTCCATCTTTTATTCTCAATTGTTCTCCAGTCAGAGAGAGTAAGGGACTTTAACTGGCCTTAGTCTCATAATTCAAATGTTCCACAGCGTAATAGATTTATTACTAATCTACTCCCCCATATTTGTATCGAGATGGAAAACACAGACTTCCTAAACAAGATATGGACAAATCTTTCAGGTAAGATATTTAAATTATCCCTTTTGTAATTTTATGTATATATGTACAACATATGTGGGTAAGTGTGTTTTTTGGTACAGATGTTGCACTGAAGCATTTTTAACCAACTTTTTAGTTACCACATCTTTAGTGATTGTTAACACTGAAAAAATAAACTACAGTATATTGTATGTATATTACATGCTTTCTTTGTTGACCTTTCAGGCGAAAGACAGATATGGTTCCTTCATAACAGGAAGCAACATTGTGCAAAGACTAAACGCCATCAATTAACAGGAAGGACATTGATATTTTGGTGTTTTTGCAAAGCATGTAATTTACTGATAAGTCTTCCTTTTCTCCATAAATTAATACTCAACAGATGTTCAGTTTTTTTTACAGCATGATTTATTTCCTTGGTACAATATACACAATGTAACTGCTTGTTCCACTATTTGGGGAAACATTATATCAATATTCTTACATGACTTTATATCATAGCAAATTATTTTAAAAGTATTCACTAAGCAAAGTTTGACAATTTGTTTTAAAAACATAATAATCCTTGTATTTCATATATTTATAAGTCAAATTTATCTCAAAAGTAATCGCTGTAAAGACTATTTTAATATGTCACCCAATGCACACATCAAGATGTCACGAATAGCGAAAGATTGTAAGATTTTGTAGGCCAGGAAATCAGGTCTGAAAAACTGTAGGTCAGGACATTAGGAGAAATGCCCTTTTTATTCTTCATGGATAATATCATGAGATCTTTAACCTGAACAGGTAAATATGAACTCAGTTTAATATCTGATTTTATGGACAGCGTATAGTATAGTGCTATTTCATTGGAATGTCATCTTTGATTGGGAGTTCGGTCCAATTGTAGACCTTGAGAGTGTTACCAATTGAAACACAATGAAACAAATATTGAAGTCGCTGGGAACACTCAGCAGGTCAGACAGCATCTATGGAGAAAGGAAAGTAGTCAACGTTTTGGGTCCATGATCCTTTGTCAGAACACTTCGACCGTTGAATGTTGACTGAACCGCTGAATGTTCCCAGCGACTTCTGTTTTTGTTTCAGATTTCCAGCATCTGCTGTATTTTGCATTTTGTTTTACGAAATAAATATTGTTCGTTTGTTACGAAAATGAAGCACGGTTATGTTACTTCACTCCCTTTCCAGGAGTAACGAATCCCTGTAAATATTATAACAATAGTGCTCTGTGTTTTTTGGGACGTGTGTCCTGCTTGTCGTTGAATTTTAAAACAAAATTCGAACCGTGACTTTCATGTTATAACTAGCTTTTGTTGCGGCTGTGTTTAAATGTCTCACATTACTTACCTGAAGGAAATTAATAATAATAATAATCCTTGCATTTGATATAGCGCTTTTCACGTCGGGAGGACGTCCCAAAGCGCTTCACAGAACACACTGTAAAGTGAACTGACTGTATATTTGTGGGCGAACGCGGCAGCCAATTGCGCACAGCAATGTCCCACAAACAGTCGTAGATTGAAAATGACCAATTTTTATTGTTGTTTTTGGTTTTGGAGGGATTATTATTAGGCGTGTGGAGTAAGGAAACTTGCCCAAGGTTTTGCCCTGCCTGGAAATGAACTCAGGTCTCTCGCTTGCAAAGCGAGTGCTCTAACCACTGAGCTACAGGACTCCACGACTTTAACACAACGATTAACACAACAAATTTAGAATGGCTGCTTCTTTGTAGCATAGCAAATGAATATCCTCAATTGTAAACCGTATTTATTCAAACAAGCATCAGTGTGAGATCTGTCCTAGAGCTGGTTCTGTCTTACATAGGTGCTGACCCAAAAAACACAATCTGAGAGGTTCACAATGAATAAAAGAAATTGAATGATGGGGTAAATCTGACCTCTCAGTACTGTAAAAAATGCTTTTAAGACTTTTGAAATTGCATATAAACTACCAGATTCTGTGTAATAAAGTATTTCAAAGGTCAAATTAAATTCTTGCTGGCTGGCCTTTTATTTCTTAAAGATGTAAGTAGATGATAACCTATGATAGTCTAAGGCTGAGTGGAACAGTGGTGGGGAAAATGTACTGACCTGAAAGAATAAAAAAAATCCTTGCATTTGATACAGCACCTTTTTAGGTTGACAAAATATTTCAGAGTGCTTCACATTATAAAGGGTAGACATTTGTGAATCTGAATGTTTGATTTGATAAAATGCTGATATAGAATATACACACACACGTGAAGTTTGAATTTCATTATTGACATTAGAATTAGTAGATAGAAAATAAAGCTATAATAGGAAAATAATGAGAAGCATGGATTTGTTTGGGAAAAAAAACATGCAGCAGGAACAACAATGTTTAAAATTTCAAATGAACATTAAGAACACACCAGGGAATTTACTATGTCATTCCTCATCACAATATTATCATTGGACTAATCAGTGTTTACCAGATACAGAAAATATTGATACAAAGCACTAAATTTGGGTCATTGTAGGTCGAATGGACCTCTTCAATGTGTATATCTTATATCAATGTGTTTTGACAAATCAACTTGAAAACAAATGTTGATACTTGTAATATAAAATGCATGTTTCTTAACATGCGTGCTGTTTAAGTAACAAAATGTTAATATTCCCTAAGTGGTAGTGATAAATCCACAATCTAGTACCCTTTCACCCCTTCAATGTAATGAGATTTTACCTGGCAATGATATTGGAATAAGAAAAGTTGATGATTTTCATCGGGTCTCAGCCTAGCTGAGCCAGAAAGGGTTCAAGCCTCATGTTGGGTAGAGCCTCCAATACAGTGGCGGGGGAATGCTGCATTGATTAAGGTACCACCTTTCATATAACATGTGAAACTGAGGTCCTGTCCACCTGATCAGGTGGAAATTAAAGATCCCACGGAACTTTTCAAAAAGAGAAGTGAATCTCCTGATACCCGAGCCAACAATCCCCTCCTCCCATTTAAAATTGCTCATTCACATTCATGGCTGCTTGGAGTTCATGCCGATCCAGAAAATGAAGCCAATTTGCAGTAAACTGTGCAAAGTGCCTTGAGGTATCCTCCTGATAATGAAAGGTGTTAAATCAAATGCAACGATTATTTACAATTTGCGTGGATGTTCAAAAGGGAAGCTGATGATAAAAGTTACTGATGTAACTTGATGCTTGTCGAGAGGTTCTTTATGGAATGGCCATTGTAATTCCCTTCTATCTTATGTAGTACTTACGTAGCGATCACCTGGGACAATAAAGTGCGGGAACATTTGCCCCGAATTGCGGGGAAATTGGGAAATTTGACGGGACAGGGATCCAGTCACTGGGGAAAATACTCTTTCCTGCTCGACTGCAGACCCGTCTTGGGAGACCAGACCCACGTGCGAAAAAAGGAGCGGAAATCCGATGGCAAGGCTGGAGCCGAGGGCGGTGTCCAAGGCACGAGAAACAGGCGAAGGTAAAAAAAAAACAAATGGCTGAGAAGAGTTGCGGGCCTGAGAGCTCCGCACGAATTCGCCGGAATCGGAAGCGGTTCCAAAATGCGCGCGGCCTTTCCACTGACTGATGTACCGCCATCATCATCATCATCATCGCCGCTCGCTCGCCCGCTCGCCGTGAGTGAGTGCCAAGCGGAGTCTGTTTGCGAGGCTTTGGTTGACGAGGAGCAACTTGACAGCCTGGTAAAGTGTGTGTGTGTGTGTGTATATATGTATAAATAAAATATATATGCGTCTATATATATAAAAAATAAGGAAGTTTGCACCCACCCCACCCCCAAAGCCGACTCACTCACTCCCTCCCCCTTTCACGGCTCGGTGTCCTCGTCTCCTTCCACACTGAGATGCCCGGATGTAGCTGTCATGGCGGCTGGCGGGGTCGGTCTTCTATTGGAATGGTGAGAGCATTTATTATTATTTATTTTTTAATATATATATTAAAAAAAATACGTAAGCCCAGCAGTTGCCACCCCGTCCCACCCTTTGTTTTTTTTTCTATTAAATTTTTTTTTGGTGGGGTTTTTTTTAAAAAATTTTTTTTTGGGGACCAACCAACCAACGACGACAAAAAAAAAGACATTTTAATTCTTCGGGAGCGGGACGTCTCAAAACTTTTACCGTTTGTGTGGCGCGCGCGAGTGATCAGATAGAGAGAGAGAGAAAAAAAATGTCTCCCGAAAGACGTTAAGTCCCGGGGAAGGAAAAGGAGGACATTTTGAGGCTGAGAGTAAAATAGTGCGGGCGGTTAAAAAAAAAGCGGTGGCCGAGCGCGCGGCTTTGCGGCAGGTGGATGGCGTCCAAAGTGTGCGCGTCGTTTTTTCCGAAAGCGTCTTTGCCTCCTGGCCGTGAAGGAAGGAAGAAAGGAAGCCTTTCTGCTCGTGTTCCAGCGAAGGTGCGGGAGCGGAGGGAAGAGTGAAGACGACGGGGATCGTGATGTATACGTCCGCCATTTTGAGGGCGGGCGATAAATAGATTTCTATTCGGGACTTTCCTGCTCCCGGACCCCCGGCCCCGCAGCGCAGAGAGACCCGACAGCAGCACTGGCCGTCCAGACCACACTGACTTCCTTGTTTCTCCATCTCAGGTCCAGCGGCGGGCGCCACTTCCCCGGGTGTCCAGTCGGCCGGTTGACTGGCCTGAGCTGTAAGTGGCAGGAATTGTGAATCCGACGTCGATCCTATTTATGTTCACCCCCGAAACTCTTTCGGTTTGAAAGTTAAGACCCGTTTCTTTAAAAACCTCTTCTCGAATCGTTGCCATTGGAGCGCGAGGCGCACGTGCCACCGTTGAACCGTCACCCGGACTCGAATCAAAAATGCCTACTTTTTTTAAACGGGTTTCCCCCCCAAAAAAAATAAGGTTTTAAGCCTTAAATGTCCCCAGCAGTGGGTGGTGTGTGTGTGTGTTTGTGTGTGTGTTGTGTCCTCCCCTCTCTTCTCTTCTAGGAAGTGTAATGTAAAATGTTACAAGAAATGCTGACATGGTCATTTCTCTTCAGCATTTTGAACACCGTTTTTTGGTGGCTTGGCCTAGTTGATGGCACTCTTGTCAGTTTGGTTTGAGTACATTTGAGCAGGTTGATAGTTTTCTGCATGTGTCAGTCCTCGCTGCACCCCCCGCCCCTCCCCCCCCCCAAAGAAAAGGCATTACCCAGTTTAGAAGTGATGGAGGGAGGATCTGTCTTTTAAACGCGACAATAAAGCAAGATGTCATCTGACTGTTTTGTTCCACGTTGAATATCCATGATTGTTTGTACTGTGCAATCTTTGAGATTAGTTATTTACCACATGAATGTTTGTGGAACCCACCTGGTGCACTAGTACTTATCTCTGAAGAGCTTTGAGTGTTTGGTGTGATCAGAAACGACACCAATGACAGTGTCTTTTGAATTCTTTCTAAAGATTATTTTAACAATATTTGCAAATACGTTAGTAGTCATCAAAGATAACGAAGGCTAAACTTGAAGTAATGTTGATTTACATTAGTAAACTCTTAAAACTCAGTCAGTGTTGATAAATGTTTCTTAAAAAAAACAAATACCCACTGATATCAACAATGTTTTTTTTCTTTAAGTATCCAAAAACAGTGATGATTTGTTCTGCTATCCTCCAGGCTTCAGTAAGACATCTGCATTTTTTGTTGTATTAAATACACACCATTAGATCATGCCTTTGTACAGAAGACTAAAACACCAGTTTAAACTCATTTTACCTATCAATGGTAATTCCATTATCCTTCCCTTGTAAAGAGATTTCTGGCTTTCCCACAGCAGCACAGATGAGCACCAGCATTAGATACCAATACTGAGGAATCTTGAGCGATAAGGTGACATTAATATTTTTAAAAACTTGTTCAGAGTATATTCATAAGTTTAATATTGAAGTAATTAATGTTGAAGTAATTAAGTTCCTGAAGCTTGGAAATCCTTGGTCTTCACAAATGAAGTGGATTAAGAGTAGAAAAGGATTAGAGCATAAGAGTAGGGGAGTCTTGCTGCAACTGTATAGGGCCCTGGTGAGACCACACCTGGAATACTGTGTGCAGTTTTGGTCTTCTTATTTGAGGAAGGATGTACTTGCCTTGGAGGGGGTGCAGCGTAGATTTACTAGGTTAGTATCAGGGATGAAGGGGATGAGTTACGAGGATAGGCTGACCAATTTGGGCCTGAGAAGAATTAGAGGGGATCTTATAGAAACCTATAAAATCATCAAAGGGCATGATAGAGTATATAGTGGGAGATTGTTTCCTCTGGTTGGAGAAACTAAAACCAGGGGTCACAACCTTAAAATTAAAGGCCAGCCCATTCGCACTGAGTTGAAGAAGAACTTCTTCACTCAAAGGGTGGTGAATATATGGAACTCACTACCCCAAAGGGCTGTTGACGCTCAGTCCTTGAACATATTCAAGACTGAGATAGATTTCTTATTGCAAAAGGGATTAAGGGATATGGAGATATGGCAGGGTTAGGTTATTAGCTGGAGTTAGATTAGAAGATCAGCCATGATTGAATGGCGGGGCAGGCTCGAAGGGCCGTATGGCCTACTCCTGCTTCTACATGTTATGTTAAATTAAGTCAGTTAATGTAAATTAGCAGATTTAAAAAAAAGTACTGTACAGAATCTCTTGGCCAGAGGGGAGGAGGATATGACCCTTTGTTTGTCTCTCTTTTAAAAAAAACTAGACAAATGGAAAAGGAAGAGGACATTAGCAAAAGTGTAGCCTTTTCATGACCCATTGAATATAATATTTTTACTTTTGTTCATCTAACATTTTATTACTGAGAGAATGAGCCTTCTAAATATAAAGTGATGCAGCGAACATTGCAATGATGAAGTAATAGTAAAATTTTCTTACATTCAGAAAATATTTAAATTGGAAATTTACCTGTATACATTTTCAGGTTTAATTTAAGAGGTTATAGAGCTTTCAAAATGACCAATTTGTAGATGCTTTAAATTCATAGAAATATGTTCAGAAGAATTCTTTTGCATTACATTGAATCACAAAAATGTTTGTACAATATTGTGATTTGAAACAATTTTCTGTACTTCACAGGTTCAACATCACACTATTGAAGTGGCTGTCTTGTGTTAAATAATCTGAAGACACACGATTGTCAGAGCCTTGTTCTAACATGCACTAAATGCAAGAGAAGAAGTATCTTGAACAAGTCTGTACAACGCTCCTGACATTCCGATATTCCAGTGAATAGAAATATGCAGACTGGTGAGAAAATTTCTGCACAAAGCGATGAAGCAAATGCTTCTTTTCCTATGAATAGCAAGAGTTACTGTGGAAAAATAAATGTATCTAAGGGAAGTTTTCTACGAAGATCTGAAGTGTCAGTAGGGGACAAATTCACAAAAGTTACATTTACACCAGTTTCAGTAAATGTGAGTAAAGACTCTCAACAGAAGTTGAAATTAAAACTTGAAAATTCAAAAGTTGTTCTTTCAAAATTAAATATGGAAAGAGATCTTTTTCAAAACTCACTTGTCAGTCTAAACAAGAAATCATCACGTAGATGCCAGACTGCAAGAAAATCATTCAGAAAGGAGTTATCTTGTTTCAAGAAGGGTTCTGTGCCGCAAGCTTTGGGTGCGATGTCTAAAACTTCTCCAGAGGCAGCAAAAAACGTTTTGATAAAAGTTCTTCGTTTTAGCTGTGCAAAATGTAAGGATAATGTGGAATACAACCCAAAGCAGTTGCAGAAACATTATCAAGAATTGCACGCTGCAGATTTGCCTGTGTATCCCTGTGAGTTATGTACTTTCACTGCAAATGATTTTCAATCATTGAGACAACATAGACTGCAACACCGTACCCCTCTTCTAAACTGTGAAGTTTGCAATGATGGAAAAATGTATACCCTTCAAGAGCTGAGGAGGCATTTAAATTGGAAACACTGTGTCAATGGCCATTTTCGTTGCGAAAAGTGTCGATTTTCTACAAAAGACCAAGGTACATTCATTCAACATATTCACCGACATGATGAGATTCAATACAAATGTGGTAAATGTGAGCATGTAAGTTACACAAAAGGTGAATTTCAGAGGCATCTTGTTGTACACACAGGCTCTTTTCCATTTAGTTGTCAATATTGCAGCTATGGTGCAACTCGGAAAGACTACATTGTAAAGCACCTTAATGCCGTCCATAAAGAGCTAACAGAGAATAGTAATTTAAAAGCAGACCTTGACTCATCTCAGAAAGGAAAAGGGAAGAATCCTGTGGGTCTCAAACTTGTACTGAAAAGATATAATAATGGGGTGTCTCGAAAAACACAGTGGAGGAAGAAAGGTCTTCATGCTGTAGCAACAATGGATAATGCTAAGAGATATTTTGATACAACAAACAAATGCAACAGTGTAAGACCACAATCTCCAACAACTGTAGATCCAATTTTGAGCGATGGAATACTTAATACAAAAGATGTTGGTTTTGAGAATGTTGGAAATCGGGGTCAGAATCCAAAAGTTTCCACGAGCTTTCCTCAGAGCAAAACGGCTTCTTCTTCTCAGATTTCTAAGAATTTTCATCCTGGGGCTTCTGTAGTAATGGTAAACAATAAGTTATCAGTGCCACCAAATTATAGTGCTCAATTTATGGGCTTCAAGGTGGTTGATGGAAAACAACATTTAGTTATAAAACTAGTACCTGCAACCAAACAAAATTCAACTCTTTCAAACTCGCCGCCCCAAGCATTAAGTGACAGCTCTACAAATTTACTTCAGAGCTCTGCAGATACTGTGGAGCAAATTCATCTTCAGAAAAAGGACTGCAATGGATTAACTGGAACAAACACATTAAGTGTTGGATCATCTATGGATTTACCATCAGTTAAATTTGATATTACTGCAAATCAACCTCAGGTGTCCACTTCAATAAATAGTTCTGTGATATTGAAAACATTAAGCCCTGTGTTGCATAAGGTGCCTGATGATATATCTGTTACAATCCAAAATGATAAAGTTATCCAGTTACCAGAACCATTGCTTGTTGGTATGAATACAGTTCAAAGAGATATCAAACAGTTACCAGCAATACCAATATCTTCACCAAATTTAATTGAAACTATAATAAACAAAACACTATTAGAAAAACAACTTGTACAAAACAAGAATCCAATAGAAAATAAGACTCCAACTTTAGATCAGTGTCCAGGATCAAGTGGCCATTTGCCTAATACATTTGCATATTTAACAAAGAGCCAGATTGATTCAAGCACTGACTTGCAATATGTAATGGGTAGACAGACATCGAGTGAGGAAAAGATGGCATGTTCAGATTTTCATACTTCATTGCAATCATCTGAAAAAGGCACAGACTTGCCTTTACTTCATGAGTATGCCAAGAGGAGCACTTCTGAACACAACTGTCATTATGCTTTGTTAGTGAAAGGAGACATACCAAATACTTCAGTAAATTCACAACCATCAACCGTTGCCTTTCAGCAAAGGACTGAGTTGAGGTCTGCAGAACCACCTGCGGTTGAAGCTGGTAGAAATAATGTTTCTAGTTCCCAGCAGCTACAAGGCATCATAACCACTCCATTTTCTAAAATTCCCAAGTTGAGTCTCTTAAACAGAAAGATTTATACACCTAGTATGGTTTCAATTTCCAGAAACCAATCTGTATCGTATCCTTCACAGCCAGTGTTTGCTTTCCAAAATTGTGGTAGCCAAGGTTTGAGTGAATTTAGTTCACCTCTACTCCTGCAAATGCTGAAGCCTTCTGAGGAAAATTATGAGGGATCTGATGAAGCAAAGATGAGAATGGCAACAACAAAAACAATGCCTGTGTCTTCAGCCTCCACATCACTTAATTGTACTGCACCAGTTTCTACTTTTGTTTCAACAAACCTGGTGAGTGTAAACTGTGATGAATCCACAAATAATAATGGGATTAACAACATTAATTCTGAAACTAAAAGTGTTATTCTGTCTGAACAAAGCAATCTGTGTCTAATAAATGAAAAAGAGCAACAAAGTGAATGTTTAGATAATTTGAATCATCCTTATTCTGTAGAGGCATCCGAGTCAGGGAAAGCAGACTCTAAACTTGAAGCTCAGACCTTACCCATGGATAATACATGTGACATATTGAATAATGAAAGTTCTGCACTGCAGAAACAGGAATCTGAATTTAGGAGCTTTGATTGGTCATCACATTTGACTGGTGTCTCTTATGTGAATGATGAAAATGATAGATCACAAAATGCAAGCAGCAGTGAAACAATGAATGGTGATAGTACAGCTGAGTGCTCAAATAAACTAGATTACAGTGGAGCAGATTCATCTTCAGAAAAAGAACTGCAACATGACGCAACTGGATATGAATGGGCAGAGATGAAGGATCATAATACCAGAGGCTATATAAATGAGGAGATGCATCATGTTGATGCAGACAACAATTTTCAAGTTGATGCTCAAATGTCCCCTGAAATGCCTAGAATCACATCTGTGTTCTCATTGCAGACTGGTCATGAAATGAATTGTTTGCCTCCTGAAGAAAACCAATTAATTCTTGATGCACTGACAAATACCTCTGTATTTTTAGGTCATGAAAATGTTTGCAGTGAGAGTAGAATTCTAGAAAGACAGACTGGTGTAAATATTCCTGCTCACAAAACTCTTTTACATAGTTTTTCTTCTAAAGAAGACACACCTGTTGTACAACAGGACTGTACAAATATTAAAGAATATGCTAACAGCACTGTTTTAAGTAAGAGTAAATGTATTGACGATGGGAATAAGTTGCAGAGTATATCATTGCATCCTGCGTCAAGTATTAGTACACCAGCAAGTGTTGAACAGCTGAACACTTTGTTAAAAACTCATGGAGATGAAATAATCAACAAGCAGTTAATGAAAGATGCAATTCGTACATCGGCTAATGGAAACAATAGGTCATCTGTCGTACCTGTGACACTTTTAAGACCTATACGTCTTGCTGGCCTCAATAAGCCAATTCTAATTCAATCACTCCAGAAAGGCTCTGCAGTGCCCTCACATTTATCAAAACAATCCAGATTGCAATTAGTTTCTGGGGGTTCCGTTTCAGAATTGAACACAGCTGTTCTGCAGACAGTAACAGACAATTCCATTTCCCAGACTAAGAAACGGCCTGGCATGATCCTTACTTTCAGTAAAGGTACACTAGGTGCAGTTTCTAACCTTGTCTGTGGTGGTAATCTTCAAACACCAAAGGTAAAAAGAGAAACACCATCTTCTGGTAGTTGTGTAGGACAAAATACACATTCAGTGGTAACGAGTGGTTCTGAAATATCCTGCGCAAAGAGTTCATCAGTTCCAGCAGTAAATAGCATGCCTTTCAAAAGCACACTGTTCTTTAAAGGTCCAATTTCTGCTTTGGTTGATCACTGTTCTTATGCAAAGGATACAACTGCTTCCAAAGAAACATTAGAGAATTCAATCGAGAAAAGATCATTAGAGGGATGTGTTGATGATGCAGATTTGTTGTTTCAACCATGCGAAAATGTTAAATCATTTGTCTCAAGTAATTCATCATCCCATTCAATGAGTCAAGAGAGAGTTTTGGGTTGTTCGAGTACACCTAGAAACATTAAAGCAGAAACTTTGCCTAGCCAACAAACTGTTGTGCTTCAGTGTTTAATGCAGAAGAAACAGACTGGGCCCAGCAGTGAAGATTCTCCAGTTAATACCAGTTCTACATCTGATGACACTGGGCCTCCTCAAAAGAAAATCTTATTGAGAATTGTTAAACGTTCTAATGAAGAGTCAAGCACGAAGGATGGCCAGTACTTAAAAAATGCACTATCGACATTTCAGAAAGATGCTGCAGGCAATTTAATTAAACCTTTACAGCAACCAAGTCCAGCTGTACTGCTTACTACTGGTGGTTCTCATTGTTTCTTGTTACCAGTGAACAAACATTTTCCCTCATCTGCTGCAACCTGGCGCTTTCTTCCACAGGGTGGTGTTCATACTTCTCTTAAACTTCCTATTCCTCGAATTCCCAGAACTCCTTCCATCCGTTCAACTGAGAAGAGTACTGGTAAAGTATACTCATTTAATACCCCAAAATCTGCAACAAAGTCAAACTGTAGATCAACGAAAGAAAAATCTGATGAAGTATGGACACCGAGAAAGGCATCTAATGAAAAACTTGTTTTTAGATACAGTAAGCGCCTAAAAAGAAAGTTGGAGCATTCTGAAAAATCCCTGAAAACGGTAACCATTGACTATGGTACACACAAAGAAAAACAAAAGGGAGAACTGAACAAGCGTGTTGAATTTCACAACAGTGCAGCTACTGCCAGAACTGTACGAACAATGAGGCTTATACCTTTTGATCATCATCAGCTTATTAGATGTCCAAGGAGAAACCAACCAGTGATCGTGCTTAATCATCCTGATGTAGATGTTCCTGAAGTGTATAATGTGATGAAAACCATGAAAAAGTATCAAGGAAATGTTATTAAGGTGGTTTTATCAAAACGAACAATTGAAGCCTTGTTGAATCCAACTTCTAGCAATGTTCGAGTAGCTGCAAAAGGGTTTCCTGCCATTCGACACAAAAAGGTAAAACCAGTGAGCCCAGTGAAGGAAAGATATATACTTAAACTGAAATTGAAAAAGACTAGCAAGAACAATTATCAGATAGTGAAAACAGTCTCAAGTAAAGCAATTGAGGCTAAATTCAGCTGCTGGTTTTGTGGTCGAATATTTGATAATCAAGATGATTGGGTTGGACATGGTCAAAGACATTTGATGGAAGCAACGAGAGATTGGAACACCTTGATTTAGATATCATGAACACAGGATCAAGTGATGTAAAAAGGCTTAAATTGCAAGCAACTCAATTGCTTATTGCCTTTTGTGATTGGCCATATTTATTTATACTTGAATTCACTAAAATGCATTGCTTCTGTGTTTAGGGATAAAATGTTTTTGATTGGAACTAAATTAGCTATGGTCTCTTGGTAGCATATAAATTAAGTATGCAAACCTGGATACACTGTAGATTTTCATACGATCTTGCATGTGTATAGTATTTCTTTACATTTTGAAGTATGTACTATTGTCATTGGTAAAATACTGACATTTGTAAGTCTTCACCACCTAAATGATGTGAACACTAACTGAATATATGCAATCTTTCAAAATCATAACAGATAATTTGAAGCTGGTGAAATACATGCTGATGCTTATTTTTAGTTTCACCTGAAGTCAGAAGTGAGGAAAAATACTACAGTTTGATATAAATATGTTGGAAAGTACATTGCTTATCTAGCCGATGGGCAAAAACTGTTGATACTGTGCTGATTTCAGAATTTAATTTAAGTGTAGAAGGCATTTGCCATTTCTTGTTCTTTTTGGCTTCAGTGTCTGCACTTTGTTTTATTGCAGTAAGAATTGAGATTATAGTTAAGATGGACTCTTCTGAGTGATCAGTTCTTCCCTGTCCCCCCAACATGTGTGGTGTGATGTGTGATGAAGAAGCAGTGGATGGGTAAAATTTGTTGTTTTTCTCTGACACATAGGTTCAGTTGGTAGAACCGTCTGAATCACAAGGTTGTGGGTTCAAGCCTCACCTTGAGACTTTGAGCTCATTGTCCCGGTTGACACTCCACTACAGTGCTGGGTGATTGCTGTATTGTTGGAGGTGCCGGCCTATAGATGAGATGTTGATCCCAGGTCCTGTATGCCTGTTCAGGTGATTATTAAATGTCACCATTTGAAAAATTCTTCGACTGTCCTCACCAATAATGCCCTCGATAAAATTAGGTCATTCACTTCATGGCTGTTTGTTGGACATTGCTGGATGCAAATTAGCTGTGAAATCTTGCAAAGTGCTTTCAGATGGCGACTGTGATGAGGCTCTATGTCAAATGCAAGAATTAATAACATTTAAGTTCATCACTTGTGCCCATTTCATCTGTTTGCTTAGTTTTTATATAGTGCTGAACCTCCCATTGGCTTTGTAGTTTGTAGCCTAGGCTCTTTCATTCTGAATTGATAAAAATGTATTCCAGAAATTTGGGGCAGTTATAGTTCTACTGATTGCATTACTCTCTGCCTGAACAGGATTACTATTCATATGAAGATTGTTGTCTAAAGATCTGAGAGTATAGTGTCATCAGCATCTTGCAATCCAAAGACAGAAACTGAGATGGTGTATTTTTACTTTGATACAATTTGATTTATAGTGGTTGTACATGGAGCCAGGTTCTGGCCAATCTTTAAATAGTTTTGCTTCTGATATTATTACTAAGAGTTAAAAGTTTTGATAGGCACAAATTTGTTTTGGTCTCAAGGCACTAAGCAAAGTACTTAATCGAATAATTATTCTTTATGTTGATATACTAAATCATGTTGATGAATCCAATGATGAACCGTTATACATCTCACCATTGAGAAAGTTGGTGAAATATCACAATATACAGTCAATTCACTTTACAGTATATTCTATTGAAGTGCTTTGAGAGATCTTGAAGATGTGATAAAGCACAATAACAAATGCAAAGATATAATACTGTATGTGCTTTATTTTGGTGTTCCTTGATTAGGGTTTAAAACCCTAGTTGATAAACCTCTTTGCTGCTTTAATGGCAAAACTTAATAGTATTTATGACTATCCATGGTTCCTTCCTGTGTTAAATAAAATTAAGTCAATTTCTTGTACCATGGACACTGTTTCAGGCAATATCTTTTGGTTCACCAAAAATGTGGTTACTTTGTAAAAGCCTCTTTAGTTCATATGTTAGTTCATATTAAACAAACCAGTGCCTGCGACAGCTAAGGTGGAAGTTTCAGGTGACATTGGAAAATTTATTTGAGTGAATTTCCAATAATTTGAAATTACCAATGTCAAACCTTTAAATGTTTTTGTACATTTTATAGTTATACACTAACAGTAATAGAATTTCTTAAATGCTAACTTTTACAAATGCTTTACACTATTGAATATTTTTATATATGTGATGTACATTTTTACAGTACAGAAATAAATTTATCTAAAAATGTCTTAATTGTGATCTCTTCAGTGTGTGCGAAAACTTAAAATCACTATTATAAATGTAATACTATTTGGTGTGGTACAGAACTGTTCCTGTAAATTTATTAGTGCATCAATAGACAACACCTACATCTCCATTTATCTGATAAGATGTTGAGTAAGATTTGTTGAAGATACTTTTCCTCACCATTCTGCTGATAAGTCTCCCCAACTGGCCTCCCCATCACCTCTGCTAAGAAGCTTCTGCATGTCAAATGTCCCAGGGTCCCTCCTGTTTTAGCAGTTTCTCTTAATTGGCATTATTTATCTACTTTATTAGAATGGGGGAAAGGATCTATTATTCAAAGAGAGAAGGAATTTTACTAGTATGTTGGACAGCGTAAAATTGGTCATTTTAGTTTGTGTGACATTGCTGAACATGGTAGTCAATTTGTACAAAGCAATGTCTCACAAACAGCCATGAACCGAATGACCAATTTTATCTGGAGGTTGTTGGCCATGGTTTCTTTAACGTTCTTCTGGTTTAGCTCAAGGGTTTAGTCCAAGGGACAGCACCTGATTGAGTTCAGTAAAGATTGATTTTAAAACTCCTGTGGGGCTTGAACCCAGAACCTTCTTGACTCTGAGGCGAGAACGTTTCCGAATGAGCCAAGTTGACAACAGACTTAACTCTAATCAGCATGCTGCTTCTGTATTTTGGTTGGGCCAGGTGACTGACATTCAGAAAACCCTCACCATGCTTGAATATCTGAACCATACAGAGTTTGATGCATCCCATCTGTACATGGAATTATAAATCCTTCAAAAAAGAATTGGTCACTCAATCCACGACTATTTGTGGGACACTGCTGTGCACAATTGGCTGCCATATTTCCCACAATTCAATTCACTTTATAGTCTATCGTGTGAAGAGCTTTGAGACGTCTCGCAGATGTGAGAAGGCGCTATATCAAATGCAAGGATTATTATTATCATTTGGAAATTCCAGAGATATTTGTTGGAATGGAATGTGCACTCTCGCTGGAGGGACACATCCTGCTTACCAAATTCCAGAAATATTAGGAGCGGGTTCACAAAAACCAAGGTCTGGGGACCCCAAATGTGTGTTGGGGTCTGATGGAATCTAACCTGCTAAAACCGGGTAGCTTGCCATTGATAGCACTGCCTTGCAAGATTTCCACTGCTTGTCCAGCTAGGATCACTGTACCTGTTAGGGCTTTGGGTTGCAGGGTTAATGGGAGCTGAGTGGAAAGAGTCCCTGCCCCCATTGACTTATCTGCCCTACCAATTCCTGCTGATGAGCTGGGCCAATAGAAAATGGAAACCACTAAGACAAACATCCTCCGTGAAAACCTGTAAAAATTAAGTTTGCTCAGCCCTCAGGCCTCTGCTCGCTGCCTCTGGCTGTTTACTCTATGTCTCAGTGCTGCTATTGTGGGCAGTGTGGCTCTGGCCACGCGTAGTTAGCTCGGGGAGCATTAGGATTGTGATAGCAGTGTGGGCGGAAAATGCACTTTGCCCGCTGGTGAGTGAACCACTGTATAATTACCAGCTCCGTGACACTACTGGTTCTGTGTGTTTGAAGCCCGGGCTAAACTGAGTTGCTGCAACAAATTCCTGGTAAATACTCTACTATTCAAATTAACATTTTTATTATTTTAAACATAACTAATTTTCAGATAAAATATGCCTATGTGTGTAGCTTTAATCTGGGTTGTTTCACTTTATAGGTTGTACAATACAAAAATGTCCAAACATCTTTGTAAATCCTGTGAGGAAGCCACGTGCAGTACATCTCAATTTCCGTCCGTCCATCAGGTGGAATTCTGCTCTATCTCAAATGATCTTTATGAAGAAGGGGGGCATTGTTTAGCCGCTTTCTGTCACAATTGGCTATGTTCGCAAGAACACCATTGATGAGCACATGGAATCTGTGAACACAAGGCAATGAAGGTAAAATATTTTGATATATACTGTATAATATTTCAGCTTCACTTTAATAGTACAGAATTAGTTTGTTCCGCATTCTTTCCCATCCTGCTAACAGATGTAGGTGAAATATTAAAAGTTGTTACTATTTTCCTAAACTCCTAAGGAGTTTAGTTTTTTTGGGGGGTTGGGGGTGGATTCATTTCTGTATTTGAATGATTATTCTACATGGCTTTGTTTCTGAAATGTTTTATAAATGGAAAATGTACCATTATTGCTTTCAATTTAATTTTGAAAGAAATTCTTAATATGTATAATTGCAAAAACTAATCTCCCTTGCTTTTTGATTAAAATTTGTATTGATATTGTTAAAGCACATAGAACAACCACAACAAATAAAAGCGGAAGTAGACAGAACTACAAATGTTTCTTAAAAACATGAGAATTGCTAGACGAAAGAAGACCACGTTTTATTTTTATATATTGCACTTATTTTATTATAATAGTGATCTTGAAGATCAATTTTTATTTTTTCCTTTCTAGTTGGAACTGGGCTCCAGAGACAGCTTACTCTGACATCCTGCTTCTCTAGAAACACTGCATCATCTATGGAGAAGGAAGAATTCATATTGGTCTTTGTGCAGAGTTTGATTAGACCAGACATATCTCTTGAGAAAGCTCCTGCCTTCCAATAGTTTCTATACAAGTACACAAAACAGGGTGCGACTTATTCCAACACCATCACAGCTTCGTAATACCGACCTGAAGAAACTTATTCCTGAGTATGAAGCATTTTTGAAGAAACATGTTGATACCGATGTGCACTTATTCCTGGGTTAGACCACTGATTCCTGTGGGTGCAGTGTTCTGACTGCAAAAAGTTAGGGAAAAGCCTCTTCTTATTGGAGCTCTTCTACAAGTCTTAAATGTAAAACAAGTTAATGTTGATAAAGTGCTTGCAGTTGCCACACACACTGCAAGCTACATGCTCAGCGCATTTAACATAATTGTTTCCTAACGCACTACATATTACATGCATTGCCCATCTTTTGAACTTGATTTTGGAAATCTGGGCTGTTTTACTGGAGGACTTAAACCAGTGGTCAACTATGGCTGACACTACAGTCAAGAAAGTTTTCTGCCAAAGTCTAATGTGTTGGCATCAGTAATTGGAATTTATGGAGGCAAAGGATGGAATTAAACTACATATACCAGTCTTTGCTATTCAACAACAACAACAACAAATTACATTTGTATAGTGCCTTTCGTGTCAGGAGGAAAGTTTCAGATGCGTTGCTGCTCCTGGGTGAAGGCGGTTTGCATTTTTGATCCTCGCCAGCAAGCAACACTGGATGCAGAAAAAGACTTGTACAGTGTTCTAATTCATGCCCTTTTAGCTGTTTTAATATTTGAATCGCAGGCCTACAAAGCAGCTGCAGAAACTGCTTCAGGTAACTACAACCTAGCAACATGGTGGGCAGCTCAGCTGAGTCACTTGTGAAACTTGTTGTTATTGCAAAATAATACATTACCAGTGAGCATTGCTGATGCAGAAAGGTCATTTTCTGTTTATTCAGACTTCTTGAAAGAAAACAGACAAAGTCTGACAAGACAATATGGAGATTCTTCTCATGTTAAAATATAACTACCACTAAAGTTTTGGCTGTGGCATTTTTTTGTTTCTGAAATTTTGGTTTTGAATTTTTTTTCGGCAAACTTGAAACTGCACTTTTGCACCTTTCGAAAGGTGTTCTATTCTGGTTAAAGAAAACTATAAAAAAAATGTTGCAACAATCTGATGTGTTATTTCTTCAAGTTAATTTTTTAATCAAAGTGAAAAATTGTAGGTTAGCAGTAAAATGTGCCTCTAACAAATACCTGCAATTTCCTGCAAAATTTGTCAAATTTCCCCACAATTTGGGAAAATATTTCTGCAATTTCTATTATCACCAGTACCTTGGAGTACTGCAGACCTGCCTGCCTCAGTAATTGGACTCATGCTTTTAGTGATTACCACTGTGTGTCTACAACAATGCAATATCTTCTAATACACATTGGAAGGAATGCAAATTATACAATATCAGGAAACTATCATTCAGATTATTTCTGTTGATTTTATTGCTAGATATATAAATGTAACATTATCAAGTTATTGCACAATATTTGGATCAATTTTCTAATACAATAACTTGCACATTTAGCATCTTCCATGTCAGAAAATATCTTGAAGAATTTAAATACCTTCACTTGAAGTACTAACATTTCTTCTGAAGCATATGATTTACCAAAAAATCATGTAACCTACTACAAATTAGAGAAGAGTAATAATTCCCAGAAATGTAACTTCTTGACTAAACATAATGGAAAATGAAACTGATTACAATCTTCTCAATTTTCCAAACATAAGTTCTTGAATAAACAGTGTGTGACAGTTATTCATACTTTAATTTTCATACTTTGATTCACTTCTAGATCAACAGTTTTATTCTTTTGTTGTGGAAACTTGTCCAATTTAGTTATTGTACAATGGTGTTACAAACATGTTTTATTGATTTCAGGACATCAATTGTTGAAGTGTACATTTTATACACGAGTTCCAATGTGCTGATGTAATCGATGCAGAATTTAACTTCAGTGAGGATTGAATACATTATCATAAGTATCTGACTGTTTCCTGCTGATTGGGAATCAGAAATAGTTCAGCTGGAGGTCTTCACAAAATTATGAGATTTTGACGGGATGCTTCAACTTGGTGGAATCTTTGGTATTATTTTGGCTGTCAATGAGTACCAGGGCATTTCTTTGATGATTCTCAATTATTTCAGCAACACTGGCAAATCTCTAGATTAAGAAGAAATGAATCAGATTAGTCATTCAGATTTATGTGAAAATAAAAAAATATTCAAATGAAGTCTTAATTCAACAGGATTGACAATTGGAAACTTTGAAATACACATGTGAATTGTAAATTCTCTTGTCCATCAACATCTTGCGGGGGGAGGGGAGACAGGGGTGGTCCACTTTCATCAAGCATTTGTAGTAATTTACATATTTAAAAAAATGCTGTATGTATGTGCCAAGATTCACATATGCAAACCTCCAAATCAGTTGAAGTGCAAATGATTCATACAGTATAAAATGTTAAATAAGGGTTCTGGTTTTAGTATCTCCAGTGAGTTTTACTACAATATTAATTTTTTGGTTAGTCAGTTATTTACTGAAAATAGTTGTAATCGAATCAAATGTAATCGAACAGGCATATTAGCATAAGAATGCTAAATCAATTGTTTTCATGGTATTCCATGAAATTTTAATAGATAATTGAAAGCTGGACATTTTACTTACATCTTCTCCACTCTTCTTTCTACCTAATGCGTATTCTTTTGTTGCTTCAACATAACGTACAGGGATATTATAAACCCTTCTTTTGTATAATACAACTAATGTATATGGCTGCTTTGAATCTTGGCCAGAACTTTTTCTTATAAGGAAAGATCCATCCTGTTGGGAAAATATAATTTTTTAATATCATAAAAATATACATTTATGATTTTTAATATTCAGACATTCAGCCTACTGTACCTTGTTTGATTTGTTTAATGCCTCTTCTGCAGCTTTTCGGTCACCATAATTTGTATACCATGGTTTGCCATTAACACTTGAATCCTTCAAATGAAGTACAATAAAAGAGGTTGATTGAATATGTGCTATTAAAATGTGTCTGAAAATAGTCAAAAGTTCTGACATGAAAAATATGACCATAAATATATATCTTTGCTTTTACTATCAAATCGCATATTAGAAGTAGTAGCATCTCAAATAATGAAGCAGTAATGTTTGATACATGTAAGATGCAGAATACATTTCTAAAGAGACAGGATAAATTTCAATGCAATGTAATTGAAACAATACAAGACCAGGCCTAATGGGCTGAATCTTTTTGTTGAAGAAAATAATTACACATTATGTAGAGATGTACCTGTTCTATGGAACTGGGACTAAGAGGACGTGGAGGGACGTTTGGTCTGGGAAGAGTTCCAATGGGTCGACTGGGAAGTTCTGGAGCATCTAAAAGAATCAAGAAATTCGCTAATATACATTTTTACATTGGCCATCAAAAGACTTTCCTCATTTCTCAGTGCCATAAAAACTGCCTCTTCTGGGAAGTATGCCTCTGAATATTGGTGGGAATAAAATTGTGTTTAGCTGTGATGTGTTTCGCTTCCCTTTCCCAACCACCACTAATTGAGTAGGCTGCCAAATCTCACTGTCTTGGCTCACATAGGAATATTTTTCTATCGGTAAATATGTAGCCGGGTATCTGACACATGCGGAAACCCATGTTTAAGAGTATCCAAAGCAAACTGAGAATTCTAATACATCCCACCTACACATGGAAATTCCAGAGATCGATAGCTTGCCATTGAGCACTGTCTGGCAAGCTTTCCCGTTGCTTGTCAAGCAAGTCCACCCTACCTGTTCGGGCTTAGGCTTGGAGGGTAAACAGCAGCTGAGTGGGAGGATTCCCTTCCAGTGACTGTTCTGCACTTCCAAATCCTGCCTGTGGCCCAGGGTGGCTGTAATTTGTTTTGAAGCTTATCTTCCTATGGCATTCTTTGATGCCAAATATATTTGGAAATCATTAGCAAACTATTTTGCCAGGACTAAACATAATAAAATTATGCTGTTTGATGGTGTATGCAACTTACTTGATTTATTTATAGGTGGTAGTCTGAGAGCTTGTGGTCTGCGAACAGAAAATTTTATTCTATTATTTAAATACTGACGTTTCAATCACGGAATCACTAGGATAAATGCAGGTTCTGTCAGAATAAAAACTTTTTTAAGGTATTAAAAAGAATAAAGAATACTTAAGATACTTTTTGTCAAAAGGCCGTGCAGGTAGAATGGGAGCTTCAGCTGATGGATTGGAGAATCTTGTAGGTTTTTCTGGAATTTCAGGCTTTTCATCTGGAGGAGATGTCAATAAATTAATTTGAATTAATTCAGAATGGCTTTGCTTAATATGTCATTTAACAATACATTTAAAACATTAATTGCTAACAAATTTAAAAAAGGGAAACAAATTAAGATTGTAGACAAATAGTCGGTTAATATTTGATGCAGATGATTAGCATAATATTTGATTAGCAGAAGATTGGCACATTTTCTTTCCATCAAGTTAAATACAATGCACTGAAATCACATTACAATTCCAGTGTAGTGATTGAAAACTGAAAAAACATCAACTTGACCTCTAACTCAATAATAATAACCCATTTACGAAGGCATTAATAGTTCTGCAATATGCATTAATAGGTCTGAATTCCAAACTATAAAAAGTCAATAAAATGATACGTTTGACATTGTAGCCAATTCTTTACAAAGAAACTACTATGTTGCCCTTTTCATACCAACAATGCATACTAACTTGATTCAGGGTCACATACTTCATAATCTTCAGAATCAACATCCTGTAATGAGATTCATATGATTATGTTGACTTCTAACTTCTTAAAATAATAATCCTTGCAGTTGCAAGCTCATGATAAATGAATAGATGTGCAAGAGGTCTTGGTTCTGATTTGAAATTAATTATTAATAGTGGTGATAACGTAAGCAAAATGCTAATAGTTTTGATTTATGCAATGGATATACTATCATCTGTTGTAGTGCAATGGGAAGGTTAAAGATACCAGTGAAACAACTAGTACCAGTGGAAGAATATTTTATGTTAAAGTTCATGCAGTGCACGAAAGAGAGACTTAGCTAGCAAAAATGGACATTTGAAGGCAGCATAAATGTAAAGTTAAAAATGCTCATCGTACAGTTGAAGATTTGGTCCCATTGGAAACAATCCTAAAATAAGATTTGGCAAACAATCGTCAGCAACAACAACAATTATGTTATATGTCACTCTCTGTAAAATGCACAATAATTACTGATTTGTCTCAGTAATTCCACCTCAGTTGTTCAGCAGCCACTCCCTCCAACCTTAACACAAGCCCAACTTTTAAGGTAAGGATTTTTAAATGAGAATGCTGTCAAATTTAAGCATTCACAAGATTTTATACAACTGGTGATTAATATTGGCAAATTCTGGGGGAAAATGTTTACTGTTACAACAAACAATTTGCATTTATATAGCACCCTTCCCGAGGAATAACATTTAATATATTTTAGAATACTTATTTACATATTTGCAAGATAGATTGCAAATGAAAATCTGATGGTTGTCAAAATTATTTAGTACTGTGGTTTAATTTTCATCTGACATCCATAGAACATGCCATATATTTCAGAATGACAATTTATCATAAATTATATTGTGGTACATTATAATGAATACTTGCACACTATTTACACACTCACACTATTAGTAAACCACAATGAACTGTGAGCTCAGCTAACTGATTTGATGTCATTTTGTTGCACATTGTTTTGATATGCATTTTCTGTTGCCGTAAACTTTTCACACGCTAAAATGTCCTTTTAAATGGAAAATATATGAAAATATTAATACTTACATGGGATGCAGAAGGTGCTTTGCTGTTCATGAGTGACCCTTTTCTGAAAATAAATTGACATGCTGAGAACTGTAACATCTTTACATTCTAGGTTAGAAAGACCCATAGTATAAGCAGCATATTGGAAACTGAATTCAAAGGATAAACTCCCCCAATCAGACAACATATTTTATTCAAAATTGACAAAAACGAAATAATAATTCTTGCATTCATATATATGACATAGTGCCTTATCACATCATCAAAACTTCTCCAAGTGCTTCACAGGATTTACTAAAGTGTTGTAACTGTAATTGAAATTGACTTTAATCATAGAAATATTTTCCTTTACATTATACTGTCATTTTTGAACCAATTATTGATTGGGTCAAAAATGACATCTCAGTCAATTTCTGTTCTGACTTCTGTTGGCTTTCCTTCTACATATATAAACTAACAGTGATAAAAGTAAAATACCTTTCTGATGCAACAGTCAATTTTGGGAACGTGCGAAGAAACAATGAAGGATTTCCTGCCCCCTTAGGTACAGGTTTAGGAAGTTGTGGTTTGACCCTATAAATAGTATTACAGATTATTTTCTGAATTAGGTTTTTAAATAAACATAAGCACAGAAATATAGCAATCAATACAGAATCAACACATGACAGAAGAAAAATTCAGAATAGCAACAATCCACCTTTAAGATAGGTGTAGTATTTCAAGAAGCAATAAATTGGAATTAGTGAAACAAATTTAGAACTCAACTTGGGAAAAAACATTGAAGATTCATAAAGGTTCAGCATAATATACCAAGTATAGTTAGAGGCAAAAACAATTGGCTGTTCAAAATGCCTTTCATTGTTATATCGGGAGAACCAATATACTGGAGTATTGGCCAAATAGCCTTCTGCAACTCAAATTTGTTTGCAACTGAACTACAGAGTAGAATTTTAATTATTCAAAAATAAGATGTGTACCATGGGTATACCAAACTAAAAGATAAATCAGCCATGGCACCATATTTAATACCCATCTTTTCTACAAGATATCTGTATGAGCAGTCTTATAAAAAAATAAGTACTGGGCAGAACTAAAGCACTGAAAATATATATAGGTTATAAATTGCTTTCTACTGCTGGAGCCTCTGATATTTCCACATTTCTGTACCGACTATGAAAAAAAGATAAGTTGTGATCAAGGGAAAGGTATAGGGGAAAATAAATGCTATTTTCTATCTAAGAAATTATTCAGTAAAACCAAGTGAAAATTTGCAGCAGAAAGGCTTCATCCACACTAAGGTGTGATATGACTGAACTGCGGGTGAAAACAATATTAAACGACCTCTTGGGGGCACTCTTACATGGTATAGTAAGAAGAGGATCACATTAATTGTTAAAGGATCAAGCAAAATTTTTTTGTCGTTAGCCAGTCAACCCGACTCATAATTTCATTACTAAATGAATATTTAAATAAACAGAAGAGTTTTTGATTGATTTTGTTTTAAAATAACACAAATAATGATCATTAGTAAACCTTCTATCGGGACAAACTTGAGCAAGATTTTGAAATTGATCATGCAATGAAAGTAAACCTTTTAGTAAAAATACACTTATTAAATTCTAGTTGTTTGAGATTATAACTCTTCCAAGCCAATTTCTACATTGATTTCTTCAGCATTAATGCTTATGCATAAATGCACTAAAATCAAATAGGTATTAAAAATGAAGCTTCAAGGGTCTTGATAACAAATGGACGGCATTGGTTAGAACATTATTTCTTGTCAGTCAAATGTCACCCACCTCTGCGCTGGTTGAGGCGTTTCCTAATGAAAGAAAAGCACTTTGAAATCAAAGCATTAGAAACATAATTTACACACATATGAATGCTCGGTATAGCATAATGGTTGATTAATCAAAAGATGTCTTGCTATCAGATGTTACCAACATTTTACTATTTGGTCATTCAACATAAGTGGGCATAATTTTTAGATATGCAGTAGGTTTTAAACAATACCCATTAAAATAGCATTGCACAATAGCTGAAATTCCAACAAATAGAGGGAAATAAAAATATATTATATAAAAGAATATATTCTTTTTTAAAAAGAATCTTAAAAATCCACTTTGAATGCTTACCTCTGTATCTGGAATCTCATACACGTCTTAGCAGTGAAAAACAAGAGAAATCCATATTATTAAAACAAATAAGAAATAAGAGTTTTCATTTTAAAATATTTTTTACTTGTTAGAATATTATGTTAGCTTTGGAAATAGAGGGTTAATTCAAATCTGATTCATCTGAGATAGCAGCAATGGAGTGGGTGATTTTAAGTTTAACTATAGAAGGTTAAAGAACATGGAACAAATTTAAAAGAGACAACAATATTTGAAAATTATGAATAAAAATATAAAATTCACAATATTATGTCTGAGGCACAAAGTGCTTTATTTCTTTTTAGATTAAAAAAAGTGTGGAATTTTCCTCCATTGACTATGAATGGATTGAGGGGATTTTTTCTTTTCAATCTTTGTTAAGAGAGAATCTCTTTTCATCTACCATTTTCTCACAACAATAAATGATGTATTCAAGTCAAATATCATGAAAGCCATCAGCTGTGTAAACTAGTTTGGTGCTCTGAGATGTTATCCTACATGAAGGGTGCTATATAAATGTTAGTTGATGTTATTGTACAAGCCAGCTCTTATACTGCTAAATATTGTTTTTCTAACATAAGGATAATGGGCTTTACTGTGTTTTTCAAATGACACGGGAATCTATAATGACAATAATAATTACTGAATTTGTGGTTATGATATATTGGTCAAATATTCTTTTGATAGGCTATTAAAACATTTTTAAGATTATATAAATAGGAGGTAGATACTGCTCTGGCTGCAATTGAATTTATAAGGGCAGCCTTTATCAAGCGATTTCGGAAGTCCTCCGGACATTGAAGGCGCTACACCAAATGCAAGAATTATTATCCATAATTAGTTAAAATATTAATAAATATACTTTACACTAAAATATATAGAAAATATGGAAGGAACGGATCATTAATTAGCAGTTACTTACAAGGCTATTATTCAGCTTTTGCAGTTTCCTAAATTGTTAGCAGAACCCGGTGATTGAATTACAGCCTTAAATATTTTTATATACTGAGGATTTTTTTTAAGAAAAGGTTCATTTTGTGTTCTTCTTACCATTGCCTGGTGGACTCTCTGAGCAAGGTTGTGCAGCTTGACCTAAGTGAAAAAGATACAGTCAATTCACTTTACAGTATATTCTGTGAAGCGCTTTGGGACTCTAGAAGACGTGAAAAGCGCTATATCAAATGCAAGAATTATTATTATTATTATTATTATTATTATTATTATAATAGTCAATTACAATGACATTTGAGGTAAAGATTTATAGTTCACAAATAGGTACAGAGTTTTACATGCATTTGATTCCCAGTGTCTATATACTATATACGCAATGGTAATAGCCACTGTGTTTACTTTAATCAATGAAACCCTGATTTTATTTTCATTTGTGAATCATTTCTAATACAATTACTGGATTCCTGTTCAGCTCATTATACTACATACAATGTTTAACTATAATTCACCTCATTTATATTACACTCAACCTTCTTAACTCAAACGAATACAATCCAAATTTGCCTAACCTCACCTCAAAATGTATTTACCCCTTCAACCCAGGTATCATTTTGGTGAATCTGTGCCTTTGCTGAAACCTGAGCCTTTCCTGCCCTCTGGTTCAGTGCTACTCATCTGCATTTACTCATAGACATTCTTAGGAGTGAGGAGACTCTTATTATTTTGTGATCTTAAAATGTTATGCTCCATTTGTATACATTTGAGCATATGTCCACAAATGGTTCTGTTCCATTTGTGTGATCTTTGCCTAAAATAATAAGAGTAAATATTGTAATGTATATAACTGATTTCTGGAAATAAGATGAAACATATCTGTGGAATATCTGTATACCTGGAACAACTCTAGTACTGGAGGGGCCGGTTGGTGGTTTGGCTGCTCTGTCTATCACAGGAGCTGGTAAAAGAGGACATGATATTTTATGGATAATAGAGCCTATTATCGTGTCTTCAAAATGTCTAAATGCTTCAGAGAATATCAAACTCCCCAAATGGGACTTAAAACCAGAGAGGTAGTGCAAACAACCTAAACAGCATGATACAACTGAACTTTGAATTGCTATATTTATACATATCTGTTTAATCTCTACGGGTGAAAATAACTGTGCAATAAATTGGGAGACGATTGCGGTTACTTTGAACACAAATTAGGTGGCAACCAGCCAGTAAGCTGACAAGTACTACTTCAAAAACGTACGTTTTGTGGATAATGAAGGGTCAGTCTCAGTTGGATCAATGTACGCTTCATCAGGATCATTATTTTCCACAGGAACAATATAATCATCCTGAAATTAAAAAGAAAATTAAGTATCATTATAAGAATGTAACAATACATAAAGGCTATTCAGCTGACTCAACCATCCGGGTCCATTTTCTGGGTTGGATCCTTACTTTTGCTATTAAAGGTCCATATGCTTGAACCATTTGATGTTCAGAAATTAAATCAATTCCCTTCTGAATGCTTCCTTGGTGCAGGTATGTACTTTACTAAGAGGCAGTTTAGTCAGTAATTATATAGCTTAAAAGAAAGTCATTATTTCTAGTAAATTCCAAACTAACAGTTTACATAGTTTAAGATTTATGGGGTAAATTTTGTGGCATTTTTTAACGAAAAGGTTTTTCAAGTGGCAGCATCAGCTGAGATTTCATTGAATTCTTCATCTGAAGTTATCGAATGCTTTCCTTCCGCCAATGACATGACAAAAATATTTGTGACTCATTTAAATGCCTTAGTATTGAAAACATAGTTGATTTAGAAACATGGGTGCATGTAGTGGAATCTGATCCTACCTCATCATCTTCCCTTTTCCCTTTTCTTGGTGCTGGTCGTGGAGGATAACATAATAATTTTGGAGAATAATTTGCTGGTTTTGGCAGAATAGGCCCTGGCCTTGAGATGGCTGCTGCTTTACTGCTTCCTGGTCGGTGGTCTGTTAAAAAAAAAAGAGGTTTTCTTTGACTTACAAGAAAGAACCACAAGAGCCTGATACTGAATAGATCACAATGCTTTAATGGAGGTCAATAACAAAACAGTAAATGGAAACAATAAAGGCTTGCAATGCAAAAGCAATAAAAAAACATACATTTTAATAAAAATGGCAGCTGATTAAGTTAGATATTATGAACAATGAATTACTTTGAAAGACAACACTTTAAAAACACGATTAGAATTTTATAGCTCTTGTGGATTGATCAGGATAAGTGCAAACAGTATCTACTGTAGGAATGCCAAGCTACCATAAAGAGGAGAGACTATATCAATGATTGATAATGACTAAGGAAACCAAGTTCAGAGCCGCACATCAATTTGTTACCTGCATATTCACTCTTAGTGGAAGTGAGAGGACGGGAAACAATCTTTGTTTTATTTTCACTCGGTGGGGGTTCGTAATTTTCATCATCTTCACCTGGAGCTTCATAAGTCACTGAGCCATCAGAATTTTCGTCTGGGTTTTCATAATCACTGTTATCCTGTAGACATGACATTTAAAGTTACATATCAACAATTCTGATTCAGTCGTTCTTTGCATTTTTAAAATTTAATTACAATAACACAATTTGTTTATTGAAAATTATGAAATAAAATTGTTGATTATTTTGTTTGAGTCATTTTTTGGTCATCTCACAATTCAAGAAGTCAATCTACCAAATGACTCCGAGCTGGCTATAGTTTCGGGAAGTGAACTAAAAGTATTCATGAAAGTCTGTACTTGAAATCAATTAAGGTGCCAAGTTAAAATTAAATAAAGTTGGGATAAGTTAGGTTGTAAAGTTATTGTTTGAAAAGTGCTGTTTCTTTACTTATGGAGGTACTTAAGAGATATCTGTCACATGTCAGGGAGTGGATAGAATGTCCAGTCTCCAGATAAGAAACTATATAAAATATTTTTATATACCAGAGTTAAAGACATCAACTGAGTTGTAAACTCTGTGCCACATATTTTTAGCTACTAGCTACATTCTCATTTGAAGCGTTGAGCTAATAATATGACAGAATATAAAGGTAATCTTAGTAAAATTATAGTTAATCCTCACAATTGCCTTTCACATCAGGAGGACATCCCAAATAATATATATATTTTTTTTAAAAGGGCTTATTAACCCCGGAGAAGCCTTACGCCAATCGATTAATAACTGGGTTCGTACTTACAGCTAGATAAACAGAGGCATGTGGAGTAACAAAACTTGCCCAACATTTCACCCTCCCCGGGAATCAAACCCAGTCCTCTCGCTTGTGAGGTGAGTGCTCTAACCAATACGCTACAGGACTTCACAGTTTAACTTGTACAAGGGCAAAGAAAGGATTTGAGAGAGTTTATCGAGTTTGAGGATTTGAATTGTAAGCTTAACGAATTTGTTTTGACAATTTTGTATAAGTTGTAAATAATAATAATCCTTGCTTTTGATATAGTGCCTTATCATGTCATTTAATTCTATTGGTACAGTTTCTTACATTATTCTGAGACAGCACACAATGCTATTTTCCACCAGCTACAAATGAGAGGTGGAAAGGGTTACGCAACTGATCAACTTTTTCCATTCCAAAAAAAAATTCTGAAACAGTCTGTGGAGAACTACAGAAATGTGGTCAAATTTCCATGTATGGGTATGTCGAAACAATCTGCGGCTGATTTGACATTTTATGTTTGCTCACCATTGATATAAATTCCGTGGTTTTCAAACTAATCTTGGCTGCATGAAAATCATGTTGGGCTGCTCCCATGTAGACGTCCCATAGAAAATTTAATTTTCATGTGTTTTGTACAATTAATGCAGTGAGGATCATCTTCATGCAAAATACTTGTTTGGTGTCTCTGTGCTGCTAGCTCATCTCACTGTAAAATATGTTGCATTTTGCCCATGACTTGTAATACCTCATTACTTGACATCCTGGAATTTGGACTCTTGTGGTTTATCTTACCCATGATTCTAGCAGAAAAACAAACATGTCATGGTAACCAAGGTGGTTTAGATAGGTGAGTAAAGTCCTCCATCCAGAGCAACAGAAATATTATGAAGAAAAATGATTTCAATACTGGACTCAAATTGATTCATATTTTACTAGGTAGAACTGCAATTTGGTTGATTCATTGAAACATCTGCAAATCAGCTAGTTATCTCTCACGAGGAAGCATTTGAAATAAACTATTCATTTTTTTGGGTATTACTCATATAAAGTTTTTTTTTAAAAAACATAGTACCACAAAACTCAGCTTACTGATTTTTGGGTTCTACAAAATGATTAAATACTATTTTTAAAAAAAATACATGTATGTAAAAAAAAGAACAAACACCTTTAGCTCTCTACAATGCACAGGATTCCATATATTATTTATAAACAAGGGGTAAAATGCTGCATTTATCCTGTAGTGAATGCCATAATTCAACTGTAAATCTAACACATTGTTAGTCACACTTACTAAAGCCTGTCAGTCATGCTGCGAGTAGATAATATCTAACCAAATTTGAATAAGAACAGCAAATAGATTCAGATCATCCGCAAAAAAAAGAACGACCATTTCATATTTCTGCATTGCTGTTACAACCACATAATGTATAAAGTCACAGGAACTGAACCCTATACTGCTCAACAATGCAAGAAGCCCTTAGATAATAGAAATTGAATTTCTATTTTCAGAGTTCCAATGCTATCTAAACACACAACCATTCCAACACACATGTCAATGTGTATTTCTGTGAATGCCATATCAATCAAATACACATATTGCTCAAATATTTAATCTAATTTAGAATTCTAAACTCCTAACTGATTTTGGTGTATTTTTTGGTGTATCACTGTATCTGTTAAATATCTCCCTCACTTAATTGACGGTCAGTGCTTGTGCTAATGTTTTTGAGTAAAGGTGTAGATCAGATTCAACAAGTCAATATGTCCACCATTTCAAAATTTCAATTTTTTCACAGAATTCCCAGATTAAAATACTATATAACTATAATCTTACTACAATTGACGTGAAGTGACAATTTTATAAATCCACCATCAGTTAATTGGAACAAGAAAGTGGAACAACATGAGGTGGAACAACTGGCTCTAATAATGTTTTTTTTTAAAACAACCAGCAGAGTTTTAACAAATATATTTAGACGCTCATCTGCAGAGTGTTTTTTTTATAGTGAGCTCAAAGCGAGAGTGAGAACTGGTAGGATAGTTTCTGTCTATTTACTTCCATCAAATTATATCTTTTAAGACAAAAATCATATCCTAATATGAACAATGCCAACATGAAACTTTACGTCACTGAATCTTATTCTGGTCATTGAACAGTTTCTGTTCTTGTTATTCATGCTGCAACATATTACCTTGTACCATCTGTAATTTGACAACCTGTTATATTAACTCACATTGGAGAGTGGCAAGATTTTACTGCATTATGATGGGCTGCTTCAGGAAGAAAAACACAGCCCAACAATATCTTATTCACCAATTAACAGTTATGTAGCAAACTGATTGACTGAAATACAGCCCCATAATTCATACGGAAATGGTGATTGAATTGAACAGTCAAAAAATTGCAAAGCAATCTCACATTTTTTATTTTTCATCTCAAAATATATCCCATAAAACAATACAAATCTATAGGAATTACAAACCCATTTTAAATGTAAGTGTCTCCTTCACAGTAATTGTATACCTCACCTTTGGTCACCTCCCCCTCCCCCTTGGCGTCCAACTCCACCACTTGCTCTCCAAGACACTATCTTGGCTTTTCTTATCAATATTTCAATCAAATGGTTTAAATACTTACAAATTCATCCTCGGACCATTGCCCTTCTGCTTCTTCAGCACCTTTAGATTAATGGTAAAAAGAAAGCAAAACTGAATAAGCTAAGATTTATTTGTATAAGCATACAATTATTACTCTGGGTCTGGATAGGTTTGTGTGTTGGTGGGGAGAAAAGAGATTTATAAATTAAACAATCACAATTTACGAGCAATTGTTTGGATTCTAGAGAAGGTATGTGTAACAGAATAAAATCATTCCTTTTAAGTGCAGAGTAAAACTCAATCTTTATAATAAATCTTCCAAAAAAAACACCAAAAATATCCATGATCAATCATGTCTTTCCAGTCAACGATGCCAAAATAACATCCAATATGTTAACTTGATTTATACATCATACTAATACATTAAAATGTTAATTCCTGTAGATATGTTTCTTCGATTCTACCTTGCAACACTCTGGTAGAAATATTTCGATGTAAAATTATTCAGTGTTTGAAATTTTCATTGGCACTCAGAAGGTTAAAATACAGTATAAAGGGAAACCTCATTGTAGCATGATTGGCTGAGTTTACCGTCTCAGCAAGATTGGTGTACAATGCTTTCAGGTCTACAGTAGATCTGCAAAATAAGTGAGGCAGAACTGTGTTGAAAGGCACTATAATGCGGCTCCTGTGTAATTAATGTGAACAAAAATATTAAATTGTGCATCTACTAAAGTCATCATGAGGTTAAAATTAGTCATGTCAGCAGGGACTCTTCCAATAGCAATGAAAGTCCTATAAGGCTCCTGAGATAACATACGATTTTTACAGGAGAAGACTACTTGTGAATACAGCGGTAATTTTTGAGCAGATATCCTTTGTGGGACCACTTGGGTTATTGTTCCTGAAGGCCTTCACTACAGAACTGAATGCATACAAAGAAAAGTTGTTAATTAATTTCATTCTTTCATTGGTCAATCCTTGAAAACACTTTCTCCATGTTAAAAATCTACTTTCTTGTTTTCAATTTCAATTAAGCAAAATTTTACCTGGGTTGCTATAATCTCTCTGAGGAACATTGGGTGGTGCAGGCCTTGTGAATCTACACAAACGGAAAGAAATGAATGTAATGTGATCAAGGCAAAGGAGTGACGTTCAAGATTTGGGCACATGAAGTTGTTAGTGGATGCAGTACATCAAGCACAGAAATTGATTTAGGGTTAAGAGCACTTCCGAGTTTGTGCAATCGCGTTGGAAGCATTGTTTAGTTGTCTGCATGACATGTAAGTAAAGATAGCACTTTGAGAGTCCCTTTGCCAGTAAAGAACAGTAAACCCTTTTGAAATGGGACATATTGTAACAAATAAAGACAGTCTTTTGAAATTTCTGACTTTTACAAAGCAATTACCTCTAATAATCCTACATATTATATTTTGCATTTATTAGAAAATGCACAATTAATTCCATTTAAGCACCCCTTCTTACATATTAAATCTTCAGATAGCTTTAATATGTCAAAACAGTATATTGATTTTCTTTTAAAGTGTTGGATTGTCTAAAGTATCACAATAAAGCATAGATTCTCAACTGTAATTATTTTCCTGGTATTTACTTTTCACCTTCAAATACTCAATTTTTCCAAAAATTAATTCCTTTTAATTTCTGATCATTAACAGTTTATTTGAACAAACCAATGAGAATCTATATGAAGGGAAATATAATGCTTATTTACATTGAATTCTGTGTTGTGCAATACAATATTTAGCTTGGCTTCTCTGAGCTAAAGTTTTAGCTGATGCAGAAATTGGGAAATGTACAGGCTCAACTGTAGTGATTGTTCATACTCTACAATTAACTGAAACAAATAGTTAAGTTCCTCCCGTGTAGTGTAGATATTTTGAGTTATATCTACAATATGTGTTAATGCCAACTTGTTGCTGAAAGAAAATACAGTACAGTTGCAGAAAGCAAATACTGTTAAAGATAACCCAAGCAGGATAAATATTCTCAAATGTTACTCAAAAGTGTCAGTTATATTAATGCATGAAGTTAGCAGCACACCAAAAAGTGCGAGTATGCATTTTGTTCATTCATACCGATCCCACGTATTTTTCCCAGTTTTGCGGATCAAGGCTGCTTGTTGAGTATGAAACCTATGAGTTAATGGAGGAAAGCTCACAATCTTAACAAATGTGGATTTCATTAGCGTAAAACATAACAGTTGAAATAGGAACTCAGGATATTGCTTACTTACCTTTTGCTCCCTGTTAAAGTGTTTCAAACTTACGACCACAAACCTGAATAGTTGTATAAAGATTTATAACATTCAATGTTCTGAGGCCTGTCAGCCATATTTTGTCATTGCTCAGAGATACTGCCCTGCATGAAGGGCACTATATAAACACAAACAGTTTTTGTTGTTCTTTATTTTTCTCTTAATTACACTACTCTCGATTGGTCTTTGGGATATTGAAATAATTACAAATAAGCCAAATTTGCAGTATTTGATTGGGATTTTGCTATTTTTAAATTTATAATTTACGACAAAATGTTATAAAGAGACCTTAGTCATAAAAATGTGCCTGCCAGAAGATATTATGAAGATCACTTATCATTTGACATGTCTAAATACTTCCTTTACAATCTTTATAAGACTGCTGTTCCAAATTTCTTTATCAAGATAAAGCAATTTATTTAACTGTAGATTAAGCAAACGTGTTCTTAGCTAGATTGTAAATATTGATTTATCTATAAGTTGTTGGAATATTATTGTATACGTTTCCGCCTCTGAAATCATGAAATGATTCCTGCATATCATTATTAGGCATGGAGAGGGAAAATAAAATCCTTGAGCACTCTCACAATACTCTGCTTTCTCCTAACAAAAGTCATTGAAGTAAAATTGACTTCACGGTTTCAAATGGGAATTATCCCTATTCACATGTGGGAGATGTAAATTAATTGATAGGAATATAAATGCAATGATTGCCCAGGCCTGTTTGCAAACCTACTTTTTAAATTTTCTGATAATTCCACCATCGTTCTTCTTAATGTCCTGGACTATCTTTTGTATTTGTCTGTGAAAAGAAGAAAAACCTCAATAAATTATGGAAGAGGATTGAATTTACGTGCTTGTGGAGTGATAAGATTCCCAATTTTAATGATAAAGGAACAGAGGGTAATTTGGTAACTATTAATTTTATTAACCAGCAGAGAATGTCTGTAAAATTACCAACATCCCTCACTTATCTATGGATGTCAGCCTGGTTCAGTCGGCAGCATTCTTGCCTCTGTGGCAGTAGATTATGGGTTCAAACCCCATGTCAGAACTCTGAGGTCGGAATATGCTCCACCGAGCGCCTGCATCAGTCATGGGATAGGGCTGGAGGATTCTGTGATGCAAGATTGCCATCTTATAGTATGAGTTATTTGATCAATTTTGCATTGAAGTATTTACAAGAATTTGTAGAATGCATTTAGTTACTCTTTAAGGGAAGTGACAAGTAAAGTGGAATCACATAATAACAACTTGCGCCCTTCACACGGAGTCTTGGATTGCTAAACATTTTGCATGGGAAGAGGCTGAGATATTGATAGCATGGCAACGTCAGTGGTAGTGACAAGTTAAACCAGGGTTGAGTTATTAGGAGATTAATGTAATAGTATATGGGAGAAATTCAAGGTACTTGTCTAGGAGATAAACATCCAGTTTTACTTATTAGTTGATCACTAGTGTGAGCAAGAATATTTAACTCACAGTTTTGTCTCCTCTTTCCCAATTTGCTATCATGCTCGTCCCTACTGGGTGTATTATATCCCTTCCATCTCCCATAACATTCACAGTTTGACAAGCTTGTTACCAGATAGTTATTGCTTATAATTTCCATGTATATTATAATAATAATAATCCTTGCATTTGACATAGCGCTTTGCATGTCTTCTAGACGTCCCAAAGCGCTTCACAGAATAGATTGTCAAGTGAATTGACCGTATATTTGTGGGCGAACGCGGTAGCCAATTGCGCACAGCAATGTCCCACAAACAGTCATGTATTGAAAATGACTAATTTATTATTGTTTTGTTTTTTGGAGGGATTATTGTCAGGCGTGTGGAGTAAGGAAACTTGCCCAAGGTTTCGCCCTGCCTGGAATTGAACTCAGGTCTCTTACTTGCAAAGCGAGTGCTCTAACCACTGAGCTATGTTTATAATAATCCTTGCATTTGATATAGCGCCTTACCATGTTTTTAAGATGTCTCAAAGCGCTTCACAGAATATACTATACATGTCTAACAACATGTTGGGAGGAAACCTTGATATTTGATAGCCAAACTTAATTTTAAAAATATTTAAAAAAAACATTTATTTAATTTCCCCATTGTCTTTCCTTTTATTTCAATTTCTATTTTGATTTCCTATACATTGATTTCCAGTGTACCACATTCTATTCATTATGGACTGCTCTATTTTAAAAAATACAAAAAAACAGATATTTGATTGAAGCTTTCTTTTTTCTCATGAACCCTTTGTTCATTTTAAAAAGAAATGTTGACAATCAGCTAAGTAAGTTTTTTTTCAGCTAATCTAGTGGGGGGAAAAATATCACAAGATCAGTTAAATTGTTCATGACATTGAGTTTTAAACGTTTTTTGTGGGGAAAAATTCTCTTACTTAATTTTCCAATTCAATTTTGTTGAGTCATTCTGTTTGTGTTATTTCAAAACTAATGCTGTTGCAACATAATGTTTTCCCTAGCTGCATGTGTAAGAAAAGATGCTCACTTTTCTTCATACTTTGCAAATTAATTTTATAGGAAACATGAAAGATTTATAAATGGACAATTTTCACATTTTGCTGCATTATACCCCATCTCCAGCTAAAATTGAAATTTAAACTATAATGACCCTCAGAATGGAGCTTAGTCACAAACCCGATTGCAACAATAAGTCACTTTGCATACTAAAGGAAGAAAACAGAGGAACATACTTTCCCACTTTCTAAATGCAAAGTTAGTGCACTTTAATTATATTACTGTCTATGATGAATGGACATTTCTCTTAAAAAACTGTACAAAACAGCAATTCAAGAATCTAGGCACTGTGAGAGTAAAGAGGAAGATTTTTTTAAAAAATGTAAAACTGTTGTACTCTCTATTTAGTCTAAAAACAGAATGTAAAATTCCCCAGTGGTGAGATTAGAAAATCGGTTCTAATGAGAAATGAAAGTATGAAACTTTGAAGACTGCTTAGTTTCTTCCCTCAATTGCTAAATGCTAAAAGTAGCGAGTATCGATCATGAACTATTCTATTTTCAATGAACATTACCACACACACTTTCCAGATATTAGTTGGCAGCAGGAATATGGTTATCCCCCACTCCCCACCTATTGTAATTCCAATTGATAATGAGTGAAGATCAACTGTCTGCAAGATAAGAATCTATCTTATGTAGGAATTTGTTTTACACTTGATATTTGTGGCATGGCGGAATTGTAATGAACTCATCAATATGTTTTTAAAAAGAAAAGATGTATTGGATTTTTTTTATGAAGACCGGAACATATTCAGAATACAACTTTTTAAAACACAATACAATGACAACAACAATGTGCTTTATAGGCCCGAGGGACAGCTATGGTGAACTGTTGATAATCACACATTATATATTTAATAGATCTAAAATGATATTTTGTCAAAGGAAAAGCAAGGTTGCGCATTTCAGACAAAGGAAATGTGCCCAAAACATGAGGAGCATATGGGTCATTCAATGGAAATCATTTCCGATTTGTGTCTTCTGACAGCACCAAATCCAGATCAAGTCAATAATTTGTACTGTGTCCAGATAGAGTGACAAATAGTTTCCCTTAATGAAATCTCAAATTTAACCCTTTTAACCTTAATTGGGGGGGGAAAGAGTTGACCTCTGGCATATATTGACCAAAGTACTGTAACAGTATCAGAAGTGTGGAACAGTTATTCGGTATATCTGCTAGCACTTTAAAAAAACACTATTGACCTGGGTGTTCACTGGTCCAAGTAACTGAAAGTTTGTAAGAGGGCAGAAATTCTACCTGGTCTGTATTCTATTTATGTAGCATTTCAAAATATCCAAAATTTGGCATTAAATTTACACTTCATTTTGAAAGATGTTTTCTGTAGTTTTGAAAAGATTTATAGAAAACCAACTTCAAAATGAAGAATGTATTTAAGAACTTGAAATTTTTTGAAGGCTCTGTAATACAGATAGTGTACTACATAAATTGAATAATGATAATAATCCTTGCATTTGATATAGCACCTTATCACGTCTTTGAGATGTCTCAAAGCACTTCGCAAAATATACTATAAAGTGAACTGACTGTATATTTTCTGGGCGAAGCACAGTAGCCAATTGCGCAGAGCAGTGTCCCACAAACAGTCGAAGATTTTGTGAACAATTTTTTTTTGAAGGGATTATTATCCCCGGAAAACTGATCTGCCGATCGACTAACAACCGGGTTCCTACTTACTGCTAGGTAAACAGAGGCATGTAGAGTAAGGAAACTTGCCCAACGTTTCGCCCTGCCGGGAATCGATCCCATGTCTCTCACTTGGATAAATTGATATCCCAGTGGAATTTCTTCCAAAAATATTTATTTTCAAACAGAGGTGTCATAGCAAGGCCTTTTTCTTTACTAATTTCATCACTAATTATCGCTCTTATTGATAAATCAGTTACTTTCTCTTTTACCAAGTGTGGTTTAGATACCTTCTGTCCTCCTCCATTATATTCAGATAAATAATAGAAAAATCACAGTTTGAAAAGCTTAAGAATGTTTTGACAACACTTTCACACTCACTATAAAATGTCAAATATTTCTACCTGTGACAATGAACACTCACTTCAGTTTGGTCATGAAAATGAGTCACAAATAGCAAAAATCAAAAGGTGTAAACCATCTTCAAAAATGTATTATGTTTACTGCTGTACGGATAGAATTATCAAGTTAATACCAAAATGCTTGCTTATGGCTATTCATGTTAAGAGTTAAAAATACCACCTACTCTTACTCAAAAGGATTCTGCCTAAAAATTATAGAAATAGATTTTGATTTTATGATTCATTAATTATCAAAAGCCTGAGTGCCTACCTTATTTTCTGATTCTGAGCAAGTTTACTAAATGTTTCCATCGTCTTGGTTCCAGAACATATAATTATTTTTGGTCTATTATCTTCATCAGTGTATTGGTTGCAGAAGCTAACAGAATGTTAACCAGTGTTAAAGTCCAGAATTGACATGATGTTCAAACATCTGTCAGTAGTTTGTGTGGGTGATTTAGGCCACAATCACTCGCTATTATTGGTCAAAAGTCTGTGACATTATTGGTTATCATGTTCTTTTATAGCTATGACCACAGGTTACATGCTTGAATAACTTTATGGGTATTAAGTTACCAGCCATGACTTACTCTATGCAGTATTTCTCTTTAAAGAGATAACACTTCAATGTAGTAGTTTGAGCATTAGGTTCATATGGATAATGCTTTTTTTTGGAATTTTTGCTGGTCTTTCTGCTGGTAAACTAAAACAACTTTAGCCTTGGTTTACTCGAATTTCAGAAAAGGTGAAGCTACATTCTGAATGCCGATTCCTCTTTATAATGTAATAGCAAAATATAGGTACTTGCATATTCCCAAATGAGATTAGAATACATTAGAATATACGGCACTTTTGGCCCAACTGGTCTATGCAGTGTTTATGCTCCACATGTACCTCCTCCTGTCCTTCCTCAACTAAGCCTTCACGCATAACCTTCTATTCCTTTTTCCCTCATGTACCTGTCTAGCTTTTCCTTAAATACATCTATGCTATTTGCCCCAACAACTCCTTGTGGTAGCATGTTTTACATTCCCACTATTCTCTGTGTGAAGACATTTCTTCTAACTTCTCTATTTGATCTATTTGTTACTATTTTATATTGATGGCCCCTGCTTTTGGTCTCCCCCACAAATGGAAACATCTTCCCTAAGTCTACCTTATCACAACCTTTCATCATTTTAAAGACCTCTTTCAGGTCATCCTTCACCTCTCTCAGGTCAC